AATAATAAATAAAGAGTTTAATTGTATATTTATATGTTTAAATTAATAATGTGATTTATAAATAGGACATAAAACACTCTTAGGATTAGAGTGATGCATGTTAAAGTTTTGTTTAAAATGACACTGATTATGTTAAGCTCTGAGAACTTTTTCTTTCACATGAGATCATATCTACCAACAGCATACGCATCGGACAACCTTTTCATTCTTTCATATACAGAAACCTAAATTCAAGTCCTGATCTTCAACACTGATGATGAATAAAACACACCGAACTTCCTACTAAATAACAAAGGGAAATTAAATATGGACAGACACGTAAAACTGCTCAACATAGATCCTCCAAAAAGTGCATGCTTTCATGTTCTATACCTAGGGATCTCTCGTGACTAATTTCACATGAAAAAATTCGAAGCGGCAAGATGAGTTCCAGTTCTAAGGCAGAAACAGGGCTGTTCTGTGATGAACCATTTGGTCTAAAGAGCACAGATCTTCTCCATGTCAGAATCATATCGCTCCAAATCAGATATCTTTGCAGAGTAAGACCATGATAAAGACTTGCTTCCACTTGCTCTCTTGATGCGTCTACGTGAACCGCTGCAGAAATTAATTCCAAAATGTTGTCTAAACACAAAGTAACACAAGCTTGCTAGGGTCCCAACTAGAACTGGTGCACCAAAAATAGTTATGGTAATAGCCATCCATGTTTGATCTCCAACAACAACAAAAGTTATTGCAAGAAAAGCCCCACAAGTACACGTACATGCAGCCCACATCATCTTGTTCACCACTGAAACGACCTGCTTTTGAGCCCCAGTGTCCCATGCTACCAAAGTGATCTGAACTACAACAACAGCTAGAGAAATGAAGAGAGATGTAGCGTTTAGAAGAAAAAAAGATCTGAAAGCAACCTTATCAGCTATGTGAGCCTTCCCTGACTCGGCTCCATCCTTTATATATTGGCCAGGAAGATTGAAGATAGCCAAGAATCCTATTGAGGCAAAAAGAACAGCAACAACTGTGACAGAATTTATGGTGTTTTGAACTGCTTCTCTATGAAGTTTTTTCAGTTCCTTAGCAATACCAGACACTCTTCTGCGAGTTTTTTCATTTTGTATGAGTTGTGACTGCACTTCATGCTTTATATCACTCACAGTTCTTTTGAGTTCCATAGCTTCATCCACTTTCCCAACATGCCTGGCATACCTGGCACCACAGTCTTCAAGGGCCTCCGTGATTTCCAAAGCTGTAGCTCCATACTGCAGTTTATCTGCCAAATCCAATGCTGTTTCTTGCTGATTATTGATGGCGTTCACATCCATAGCTTTGTAGATGAGCAAAAGGCTTACTATCTGACATACAGAGAACCTTGCGTGAATTGAGGCACACATAAAGAGCAGGAGCAAAACATCATTGCAAGGAAAAATAGTACAGCTCAAGAACAGTTTGGTGATTAATAAATGCATGCAGAGTTTGTTCAAAAACCCACATGTTAAATCTACGTAACCCCTTCCCTATCAGCCAAGACATAAAATATAATCTGAAATCAAAAAAGGGAAAACACAGTAGCATGAAGTAAAGAAGCTACAGCAGGATAATGTAGAGGAGATAGCCCGTCACAGACAATCAATACAACCCTTGGAAAGATTGGACTCATTAATAGAAAAAAGCAAAAATGGTAACAAGCGTGCAACTCAGATTCAATGGAATGTGAAATTGACCTGTGAACGGCCTTTGCGTGTAGCTATGTGTAGAGCTGTATTACCCTTCTTATCACGTTCATTCAGAATAGTGGCATCAGCTTGCAATATCTCCTCCACCATTAAAGGACTCTGTCCTTTTACAGCCATATGCAGGGCAGTTTGACCTTTCTTATCTTTGATGCAGACAATTGTTGGATCTCGTTCAATAAGTTCTTTCACAATCCGAAGGAGGCCGTACCTAGCAGCGTTGTGCAGAGCAGTTTTTCCATTTTTCCTAACAATCATCATTGAACTGACATCAACATCCAAGATAGCATTCACCACGTCTAAATGGTCTTGAACAGCAGCTGAATACAAGGGGCTAGTGTTTGAGGAGTCACATAACTCACAAACTTCAGGCCAAGTACGCAAAAACTCCCTCACAATACCTGGAAAAAGATTGACAACTTTTGTGTATCATAATCGAAATCCTCGATTATCACCAACATTGCAGTAACAATTATCAAATCTGTTTTATGTATTCTTATAAAATTTGGCGTACAAACTGCAACTAACCTAGTATTATAATAACTTATATATGAGAGTCATTTTGTAAGTAATGTTAACTTAAGATCATCAAATGCATGGCATTCATCACTGTCACTTGAGCATTTCGGGAAGAAAATTATGAAAGAGAAGAAATAACATCAAAGAAGACACATCCTTGATTATTCAAGACTCAAGTAGACAAATTGCATGGTTAACCTTAAATGTCAAACGAATTAACCAACATTAAGAAACATTAAATATTGAATTATGAAAGTTAAGTCAATGCCCTCGGCAAGCCGTCTAATCCATTAATATTTTCATGTTGCCATTTAATATAGCTCAATAAGCCATCACAAAGGATTTGACACTTATGAGAACCAAAAGGACACAAACAACACACACACGCAAAAGAGGAATACCCAGATGGCCACGTTTTGCTGCTACGTGAAACGCGTTCATATCAGACTTGGACCTCATCTTCACCACTTCCAAGTCACAAAGCTTGAGTAAGTAGCTGAACACCTCGCAGAGATTATGCTCTGCAGCGATGTACAAAGGCGTCTCACCAGCATCGTTCTGTAGGCACATGAGATCAGACACCGAGAACCCATCTAAAGATTCTTCCTTTTTCAGCTGGTCAAGGATATGCGTGAGCCCATCAAGGTCCCCCGATCGAACAATAGAGAAAACAGATTGGTCTGTTATGAAGCGCAGATCCTTGGAGTCCATGAAGCAAATTTAAGTGGTCTCCTTCTAATAAAACGGCAAAAAGGGAGATGGGATTTGTAACTTATGCATAGGGTTACTTGCAGATGAAGTCTCGCTTAACTTCTTTCATTCTGTGAAACGTTGTTCTTTGGTCCAGCCCAGAAGGGAAGCAACTGCGCGTGGAAAGAAATTTAACTGTTGTTTAATTTAACGAGAGGAGAGTCGAGCACCGAATCGTGCTCTTCCAATTTGTACTATTTTCTTCGGTGGGGTCTGCTCGCAAAGAAAGTCGTGTTGTTCAAGATATTGACTTGTAGAAAGGATTGTTTCTTGTAGCAAATATCATATATTTACATTATTGTGAATTTTATTGTTAATATATCAACATATACTTATAGTTGATAGTTGTTATTCCCCATAAGTCCCAAATAATTTATCAAATATAAAATAAAAGAATTTTTTTGGGGCAAAATATAAACTTCTAGTTAAATTCAAATTTGGTACTACCTCCGGTTATAATTATAAAACCAATTGATTAATTTGAAGAGATTAAGAAGTAAGTTGAGTTAGTTATTTGTCTTAAATAGGTGTTGTCTTTCTTAAAATATCCTTGTTAATCAAGTGTATTGACTAAAATTATCATTATTAGAAGGGCTACTTTAAAAAAAATATATAAATATGAGAGACAAAGTGAATTAGGGTTTTATATTTAGGATCAAAATAAAAATCAAATAAAGTTTTATATTAAAAACCTGAGGTGAGGTAGTACTTTTTTAATTTGTATAGCAAAAATGACCCAAAAAAATCACTGAAATAGTAAAATTGCAAATGAAGACCCATAACAATATTCGTACGAGTTTTAACAACAATATTTACAAATCGATCCCTCCCTGTGTGTAATTTTTTTATTTCATGGTCTTTTTTTGCCATTTTCTCATTTGTATGCATATCTTTGTGAGGAAAAAAAATTTCAACCTCAGCTTCCTTTCATAATCCACATTTTTGAACACGTGACTTCTAATTCAAAATGGTTACAAAATGAATGTAGCATCTGGAAATTTTTTTTGGCTTATTAGTCATTTTTTATTGTAAAATACCTTTAAAAAGTTTTATGGGATCGTATTTCAAAATTGACGGATCGACCTGTAGAAAATGAATCAATGCGAACTCTATCGTGAGTATTGAATAATAATCAATATAAATAATCCATCATAAAAGAAAAAGAGTTTGCCTTTTAAAGCATTTGAGTTAGCTAACCATTTTGTCACTTCATAATAGTACGCAGTTACCACAATAAATCAAAAATTGTTATCATATAAACTAAACACATTTTTTGGACCCCAAAAAAAAAAACTAAACACATTTTCCCAAATATTACGCTAAGCATAAGAAATAAAACTTATTATTTATAACATCTAAATAATATATTTATAATTTTTATTAGTGTTCGTGTGGTGTGTCAATATTTATAGTAATTTTACCAATATACAGTATGAAACAAATTAAATAGCTCACAAATAATTGATAGACTAAAGTATAAATTTAGTCTTTTAACTTTACAAGTCTTTTAACTTTAAAAATATTTATTTGATTGTTTAACCTTAAAATCATTAAGATTCAATATATTTTTTGTAACAATTATGAATGTTTTAAAAATTAAACTTGATATGTTAGTTTTGAAAATATCTTATTAACATTTAAGATCTTAATATCATTATTTTAAAAAAAAATTTAAAGTTAAAAGACAAAAAAGATACTTTTAAAATCAGGAAACTAAATTAAAACCTTATACAAAGTTAAAAGATGAAAAATACACTTTAACCTAATTAATAAAATGGAACTCATTATTAACAAGTCAAAACCCATTTCCCCAGCCACATACAAGACCCTCCCAACTCACGTAATTTGACACATAAATATATCTATTATTAATCAAACCATATCACCAATATCTGCAGAAAGTTTATTTCTGTATCGCTTTTTTGGGATATCACATTAAGAGAATGTTTGAATGAACTTTTTAAAGATAATTTTATAATATACGAGATAAATCTGTTAGAATTGTAGGGAGTTGCCAAAGTTCCCAGTCTTCACGACATTTGAGAGCGGAAACGCAATCTTCACCTCTCACCAATCAATGTGAGAAAAGCAGCAGTGGGCAGCTTAGTGCGACCCAACACAACATGAACCATTCTTTAAAGCTTAGCTTAAAGACTCGTCAAGCGTTTCACAAGCAGGCCAGCTTCTAAGTCTCTTGTGGCATCCTAAGGTCCTATCCTTTAATTAATTACACAAGAAACAATAAATAGTTCTGCTATATCCTTTGCTCCCCACAGCATCCAATGAAATAAATGACTGTAAAATGTTAAATTCATATCATATATATTCATCAGCCTCGGAGGGAATACTTTTTCCCCGTAAAAGGCTGAAATTTTGGTTCTTCTTTCTGTTGAGATGGCTCCTGTTTCGCCTCTTTTTCCTGCTTAGTACAGAAGATGAAGAATTTAGCAGTCTGTTGATCCAGAGAAACTTGGGTGTAACTGAATTACGAAACCAAGCCAAATTATTAAGGGAGCTAAGTGAGGCCCTATTGAGATATGCCTGACATACTAACATGTCTCTTCATGATTGTTTAGAATCGTTTATAAGACAGGGTCTATATAACAATTTTTCTGGTTGATTACCAAAACGTAACTACCATCAGCAAATGATTTGCACTAATGCGAAGAACCTAAGTTACCTTTCCAGTGTCTTTAGATCGGTTGGCATTTGACCCAAACACAAGCTTCTTCTGAGATTGACCAGCATTGCTCTGGGAACTAGACGCTGCAGAAGCCAGTGGACTTCCAGTTCGAACCTCAGGTCTCCCATCCTTAGAACCCGAAGAAGAGTCTGAAGAAAGTGGATTCTTTGAGGGTTTTCCATCCAAGCGTCTCCCAGTTCCAGTAAATGGGTTGAATTTAGGCTCGGTTTCAGCCGGGGCATCCTCAACTATAAGGAGAAATAAATGGTTCTCAAATCTTCAACAAGATAGCAAATATTGCATGGCCTCATGGGGTATTACTACACATAGGTGATTCAATAGATGATTCAATTCGTCTCAGGCTAAAAAAGGAAAAATCAATTTTCACTTCAGCAATAGAATTAACAACTTGCAAACAGATGGTCAGCGGTCCCATGCATAAAAAATGAATAATTTCTCTATGCCCTTCTCCCAATACAACTCAAGCCTACAGCACTTGAGTAACGGACAGATAGATATATCAACCCTAATATACCATATAAAAGATATTCCTTATTTTAAAACGTGTAAATTATTTGCAATTTACAGAATCATTCATTTTACAAGCTTCTAAACTTGTTTAAGAGAAAATAACAGTTCCAAAATGAGACAGCCAAAAGAAAACAAATACAAATACTGAGGAGGAATCCATCCCATGAGAAACGGGGGTGATTAAGGTAGAAACAAACATTAAACAGAACAATATGGTACCTTTGTCTGATGCCTTGCTTGCAGAACGTGGTGCAGTGGGCTTCTCAGGTTCCTTGTAATCCAAGGGAGGAGCAAAGTCAACCTCACAGTCTGTCTCAATGATGCTTATTGCATCGGCAGGCTTGGTTTCTATAATATCTATGTAATATTTTTTGTTGTTGTATGCCACCATGATGCTATCTCCAGCAGTCAAGCAGGAAAAATTTCTCAAAGTTGTCTCCAGGCTGCATGGCAAAATACAGTCAAATAAAAAACAAAGTGTAAAAAAAAAAAAAAAAAAAAAAGGATAACGGCGTACCAAATAATATTACAAACTCCAGTCCGTTTCAATTTTAAAAGAACAGTTAATACTAAGAAACAGAATAGCATCATTAACGTCTAAGAGGACAATACAAAAGGACAATGCCTGAACTGAAAGCTTCAAAGCCCATTTTTATTTCATACAAAAAACAACAAAAAAAAGGACGGTAGAAGCCAACAACAGGAAGAAGCAAGATAATGAGGTAATTAGTATGAAGTAAAGATGTTGCAAGGAAGGAAACGGCTGCCTGGTAAGCTTTCTTAGAGATGTGGGAAAGACGAGGTAGCAACATAGTAGGTGAGAGTGTCGGGCTGTATGTATTGTCAAATAAAAGCTACTTCATCTCTCAGTAAACTATCATCAAACTATTGGTATACCAAGTTTTGGTTAGTTTCAGATGCGGTTTTCAAATTTTAAAATCCACCAACTAGTGCAAATTAAATTAAATGAAAAACCAAAGGTGTATGATGGATGGCGACTTGAAAAGTGAACCAAGGCACGAAAAGCATGTGTTGCACTTACTTCAAACAGCGTGGATATGTCTTTCAAAGATAATATGAATGGACACATATGACTAATCTCATAACCGCATATATAGCAACTCACATAGCTTTCGGATTGGAAATATCCAAGAAATCCTTCGTGTGGGGTTGTAACTTAACATATGTACCCTTTGGAAGTGTCACATTCTTCACTCTAACAATGTCTCCCTCTTGTAAAAGCATGTTCTCCATCATCTGCATCAAAAAAATCAAGGAGTAGTGCACAACAAAATAGAACCTCAGAGAACCATACTAGCTATAACAAGCATATCCTCAAACAATTACTTTTAAAAGCCTACCCAGTATGGCATATAAATCATGCCTTCCTCTGCAATGAATTCCAAAACCCCACAATGAGAAACTCGCTCAGCAGCATCATTCCGAAGTTCAAACAACATTGGATAATCAATATGCAAAGATGCTGCAAGATAAATTCAACATTAGCCCCCTTTCCACATCAAGTAGATGCCCCAAAAAGAAAAAGAACAGGATGAGCAGACAACATATGACAAAATTGAAGAAGATCAAATTGAAACAACAAACCTAGACGGTCAAGGGCTGAAGGAGGCATTATAACTGAAGTACAAAAAGAAATAAATTGACTTTAGCAGGAAGAAAACAATGAGATAATCCAAAAACTAGAAATTCCATGAACATAGAAACTTACTTTTGTCACCACTCTCAATTTGGGGCTGCAAGATTAATGAAGACAGAATGAAAGTAATTAGCCTCTACTTTATTCAAGTAGCACTAGGTTTTAAGAAAACTGCGACTTTTTCATATTAGCTATTATAGATTAATAATGACATTACAAGCTAATATCATCAGGCTTTTCTTTGTTCAAATTTGGTCTATTGTTTTTCAACCTTCCACTTTACCAATGCCCCTCCAAGTCTTTACTTCCAACCATGATGTTCGGCATAAGCATGCATGAATGAGAGGGAATGGTTGGGTTTTATATCAAGATGTCTTAGGGCTTGCTTGATGACTGCGCCTACCACTTCATTTCACCATATTAAATCTAAAATTATGTTCCCAATAACGCCAAACCTTTGACATCCACCCAAACCTTTGACATCTACCCAAAAGGTAAATGCTTCATTTTTGAACTTTTTATTTATGCCCACCAGAGTTCAAAGTGAATTTTGATTTAAGCTCATCAGAAGCAATATATTCAACACATTTGACACTGCCAAAATTGGAGCCGGAACTCAAGATTATCAACTGATTAAATACAAAGATTGCACATGGAACTCGAGAATATCAACTGATTAAATACCAAGATTACAAATAACGCTGACCTTTTCGATGAAAGATGCAGGGTAACATCGATATGTCTGCTCAAACGATGTCCCATGATAACCATATCCCTCAAAAAACTGCAAAGTTTACAAGTAATGAATAAGACTGAATGGATATGTTAACACAGATAATAGCACTTGTCAAGAGAGATTTTGCAAGGAAATGATGCCTAATCAGTAATATTGAAGTAATTGATATTAAGAAGTTGCGGAATAAAATGGCCCAAGACATGCGATGAGAAAAATGACTTTTCTGTTACTGATCCATCTGTCTGTTTTGATGGGGAAACCAATATTGAAGTAAGTACGCTGGTGTCCCCTGACTTTTGACTTATCTCAAGCTTTGCTTGCCCTTTCACCCCCAAAAAATAATAAGAGTAATAAATGACTTCTCTGAAACGAATATCAACCACTATACCATCTTTAATTATATAGAGATACTTTCACAGCAGTTGATCAAGCGTCCAAGCACCCTGAAAGAGGAAATAACAACGTGGCTCAAGTACCAAGGATAGCTCACAAAAATTGACAAGCCAGTTGTATGAATGTGACTGAGCAGAAGGCAAGTTAACTGACAAACAGTACCGAAGGGCAACAAAAAGTTCTTCAACTTATACAGAGAGGAAAATAGTTAACATGAATTTATTTATACTTAAAAAGTAATCTTCACTGAATTTCTAAATCCGAACCAACGAAATCAAAACTGAAAGACGAAACCTAATGCCAATTATTACTACAAGAACACGACAAAGACTGAAAGACGAAACCTAATGCCAATTATTACTACAAGAACACGACAAAGATTATAATAAATCTTGTGATACTAACACTAATCATGCTCTTATTTAGAAGGAAGAGACAGGAATCAAGTAAACCCACTTTGACAGTCCACCAAAGCGTCATTTCCGCTGCCAAAATCAAGGAGAGGCAATAGCCACAAAAGAACTGACCAGACATTAAAAAAAATTGAACTTTGAAATTATATTGGGGGTCCTCTGCTCTCCAGACAACAAAACCAGTGACAAAATGGCGCACAAACTACGAAACTATAGGGAACTAACACGATCAAAAATCAGATATGAAACAGAATAGCGGGAACCGTAACATTACCCCAAATTTGGAATTTGGAGGGGGAAGTTGTGATGTTTGATCTGGGAAGGGACAGAATTGGATTGCGTCTGTATTTGTTGCCCCGTAGCAGTCTGCAACGAAGAGGTCGATAGCTGAAACAGCAAGAAAACCAGATGCTCTCGTTACCCGCCACGTATACCAGATGTTTGGGCTTCTCATTGAATCGGGCCAATGATTTGGGCCTCTTCATATAAATTTTTTTGGGCCCATGGCCTCTTCATTTATATAATGCACACAACCAGTTCCATCAGACTTGTTACCAAAAAAACCAAAAAAAAGAATTGTTACCAAAAAACCAATGGGGGTTGGTCCAAGTGTAAGCAGTTTATATCGCTTAAGCGAGGTCTCAAATTCGAGCCTCAGCATATGCAGAAATCCCCATTAGGAGACTCACCCATCATAGTCAGGTGCGCGACGCGGGTTGAATCCAAATGTAGTCGGACCAAAGCTCCGGTGACTAGATGGGCAACCAAAAAAAAAAAAGAATTGTTACCAAAAAAAAGGTTCCATCAGAATTAGGCAAAAATTGTCACCTCATGGATGCTGACAAGGATAATGATTATCACGGTAACTGGTAAGGCTAGAAAGGAAGACGACATGGCGACATGGCCAGTGAATTGAATAATGACTAGGACATCAATGCTAGGATACGCAACATGGCTAATGACGTGGATTATGACTAGGCCAAAATGATGACCTGTTTGTTGATTGGGATGAATACCCGAATACTTACTATGACATGGTCACTGAGTTGGGTGATGACTAGGACACATGATGATGTGCTCCATGACCCTGTGCTATGTGCCTGTTAACAAAGACATGATTGATGATCTAATCAATGACATGGTTGCTAAAATAGACGATGATGCAACGTCGGTGAAGAAAGCAAGAGTTTGATTCTATGTTAAACCATACGGTCATTTCAAGGGGTTTTTTCTCAGTTTCTTTAACAGGTCTTAAAGATGAGACTTACCATTACGAAATTCACTAATTAAAATTTAGTAATTACTTTTGATCCGTGTACTGTACCCATTCCTCTTAAATTTGTCTCAATTATTGATTCAATCTCTAAAATTTAGTTTTTATCAAAATTTCTAAAGTCATAATCATCATATCTTAGGGTTTGAAGACATAATTTTAAATATGTGGTGAAACTACGAACTCAAGGATAACAACCTCTTCATGAATAGCCACAAAAAAAAAAATTGCTCGCATGATAGGGGCAAATGAACATATGAAATTTTGCACGAAACCTTCAAAATTTGATTGATAAAAATTACATTTCAATGACTAAACTGATTATGGAAACAAAATGGAGGAATCAAAAGTTTAATTATCCCATTTGTTAAAATCAGCAGAATTTGCAATTTTCAAAAAATAGACGCATCCCAGCAATGGAGCCTGACTTTCTTGCAGCAAGGTTTTATTGCCACAAAAAAACCAAGAACTCTGATCATAATGCCAAATTCACAGCTGTTTGTGATTACTTGATTTTACAAAGGACATTATGAAGAAGAAAAAATCGACCCATTCGCTGGTTTTCCTTCAGAAAGAAATTGACCATCTCTAAACTTACTCATCTTAACTCAATGCCTTGTCCTTCTCTATGCGACTATAACTTACCATGCATATCGAGCAGCACAATGGTCCGCATACAACGGCAATAACAAAGCAAATGGAAGTGCTCTTACACATCCTGAGTGGTAGTGCTTGCAGGGATCAATGAAACTTGAGCAATCAGTGGCTACATCGGTTTATTAGATTTCTTAATTCCCAACTGCATAAGGGAAATCTTATCGCCTGTTCAAAATTTCATAGAGGTCCGTCTCGGAACAATTGTACATAAACTAGCAACGGAACGGCAGATCTAATTCAATAACAAGCTACTGCAGCAACACAGAATACATGTAAGTTTTCCAGACCGTCCCCAGATCCCCAGATCCTTTATTTCTCAATACTTTTTAGTTAATATGGAACGATCATTAAAGGAACAACACAACAGAGCAATCAGCGATACAGGCTTTCAGATCTCAGGTTCTCTGCAATCTCAGTTTCCCATCGGTCCCCATTCTCAAGTAGCTTCTCTTTGTCATATAGAAGTTCCTATAAATAGTTAAACATGAAAAAATAATGAATGAGGGAAGAAAGAAAAATAATCCCATGCAGTATGCTATCAGACAGCAGTTAGAAAAATCAGAATGAAAGGGGTGAAGAAACCTCGTGAGTTTCCGTAGCAAATTCAAAGTTTGGCCCTTCAACAATGGCATCAACGGGGCATGCCTCTTGACAAAATCCGCAGTAGATGCACTTCGTCATGTCAATATCATACCTGAAAAACTTGACAATTCAGAGAGGGCAGAAAAAGGGCTAGAGGGAGAGGAGGGGTGGTTTCTTTCTTTCTGTTTTTCCCCTGGTGGTGTGTGTGTGTGTGTATGTTTGGGAGGGGTGGGGGAGGCAGGAAGGTCTTTCACCTTGTTGTCCTACGGCTGCCATCTTCTCTCTCCTCAGCTTCAATTGTGATTGCTTGTGCCGGACATATCTGATAAAATTACATTCTGTAAGTTATACAAAGATTTTACAGCAGCCAAGCCAGTATAAAGGAGTAAGGATACAATAGTACCATATACTATTAAAGACAGACTTGAGGAAAGACACATTAAATTAAAGTTAATATCATGTTATAGAAGAATATACATATTCGACAAAATAAGCACTTAAACTTTTTGACAAAATGTACAGACTTGTCGTCAATATATAACAAACAGCAAAGATTTCCAGAGACACCATGTGAGACCTAGTGACTTATTCTTTTGGATAGTACAGACCTCAGGTCTTGTTTGATCAAGACCCTTGTTGACCAGACTTTCCTTTACAAGCCTTTATCTCCTTTTTAACAGCATCAACAAAATAACCATGTACTACATAGCAATCATATCCGGGTGGTCCAGTTTTAAAGAAAAAGCAGGGAAGAAAACAATCACACAATATATGCTATTTTGCTGATATGCACTTGAAAGGACCATTGTCAAACTCAAAATTATTGCTCTAAATTTTCAAAAGCTTACAGCTTCACAGAGCTTGCAAGCAATGCATCGTTCCTCTCCAGAAGGATATCGTCGGAGTGCATGTTCACCACGGAAACGAGGGCTCAATGGGCCCTTCTCGAATGGATAATTTATCTGCATTATGAAATTATGATTGTAATTACATCCCACACAACATCTTTGACAGAGAATGACTTTAGAAGACACTTACAGTAACTTTTTTCTCAAAGAAGTATTTCAGTGTCAGACTTAAACCTCGAACCATTTCAGTGAGAAATAGTGTGTTGATGCTGCGTTCAAAGACTGCCATTGACGTCAACAATCATTCACTTATGTGACAGTAAAAAAAAGAAAACTAAAACTGAGAACACAGGGCTTTCAAATAATTACTAGAACTCCAATCCTTGGATATTTCCTTCGCAAGTTGCTCTCTTTCTTCATCATCTGCAATTTTTGCACCAGAAGGTTAAGTTTATGGATCACGCAGTGTTTGCAAATTTACACAAGAGTAGCAGATATAAACTGACAATCACAATGAAAAACTGTTTCTATGAGAATGCATAAATCATTTGCACATGCATGAATAGGATAATGACAAACCTTTTTTGGTAGAGTATGAATGAGCACTTAATTGCAAGCCATAATTTTGGGGACCTTGCAACCCTTGACCTGCCACAGCCTAAACATGAAGAATAAAAATGATGAATGCATGTTAAATATTAGTAGCCTACAAGAACAACAATTCATATATTTAGAAGCATCAACCATAACAATGATTCATTAAGTCAGAATGGCCATATAAAGGGATTAGAACCCAAAAGAAGAAGCAAGAAATTTGCCCATACTTTGGGCTCAATGAAAGTAAAGAAGCAAATGATTTTTGCCATCACAAACGTTCCTTCCATGTGAGTGTAAGTGCACTTGCAGTTTTTTTTTTTTTGGAGGGGGGGGTGAGTGATTTGGAAATAAAAAATTTTCTAACAACCACAAAATGTGTAAAATATTATAGTTTTAATTTTAGAAATAATAAGAAGCTGATTTTCAGCTAGGTTATAAAGAAGATGAGTGCACGATGACAGGCAATTCTTCTTGAATTAGGACACAATTATTTATCTCACCAATTGTCGAGAGCGAAGGGCAAGAAGTGATTTCCGAGCTAACATTGCAGCCATTATGGCAAGGCTGTTGACCGAATTTCTGTGAAATGAAAATGTTCAAGAGTTAAGGATGGCATCAAAGCTCAAGTATAGAGATGCAATTTTTGATATTAACCACAGCAAAAGAAATAAAGGATACAAAATTTCATTTTGGTTTAATTACTCTTAGTCATCATAGTTTTACACCAATTCTACATTAGCAAAAGTATAAGGACTCCTTCCAAATTGTCATGAATTTCCAAAACCCTGATCAACCAAATCGTAATAGAGTGAATCTGCTTGTGTAATTCATAAAACAGCAAATGGATATTCTTAATGCTTCCAACAATTAAGCTAAGCAATAGAAAGCCTCGTTGACTGAATCAATTACAGTAGCCTACACATCCAGAAACCTAATTGAAACCATTTGAACTCATTCACCATACAACAAAGGAGTATATCAATCAGATTCATGCTTTGCAATATGCCTGCCTTAAGAAACTTCATATAAAAGAAAAAAATTAACAATCAACAAATATGACTATAAAACTCCATTACACAAGCTATTCCTCCCTTTCAAACCACATTTCCATTAATAGATTTAGAAAATCTTCTAAATCCCTGCTGCTATTATAGAAAAAATCAATCATCAATAAACCATTCTTCTCCATTTATGTTGTTCACAGTCCCTAATTACAAAAACCTAACAAACCTAACACATAACATCTACGAACCACAGTCCCGATTCATTGGTCCCCATTTCTCACAAGAGCAAGAATACTTCGAAACCTAATTCCCCATCGCATGATTCTATCTCCCACTCAGCTTCCTTTTACAATGATTTACATCCCCTGCATCTCCCCTATTTGCATCCTTCTTCGACGGCCTCAGTTTCGCTACCCCTTTGTTCAAACCTCGACTACGAATGAGAAAAAACACAAATTAACACAAAAGGAAGAGTGGGGGGGGGGGGGGAGTGTTACCCGCAGCAAAAGCACGGCCAAAACACGGGACGGTGGCCACCGGCGGCGAACGGAGTCCTTGAGTGCGGATCGAGTGCTTGCAAGGACAGACGCTTCCTGTTTGGATCCTAGGAACTGGGAATATTGGAGATTTCAAGCAAAAAAATAAAAGTAGAATAAATCTAATGATTTAGATATTTATATTTATATTACTTTAACTTCACTCATGAAAATTAATTTTCATACGTTAAAGTATACTTTTAATCCTTCAATTTTATACAAAATTTTTTAATTTCTTAATTTTAAAAACTATATTTTAGTTTTTAACCCTAAAATTATTAGTCTTAAATAATAATTTTTTGTAACAATCATAGTTGTTTTGAATATTAAACCTAATATGTCAACACTTAGTAATATTTTATCAACATTTAGGAGTTCAATATTATCATTTTTTGTTAACAGTTTTAGGGTTAGAGGATTAAAAATTTACTTTTTAAAGTTAAATGACCAAAATAAAACCTTATATAAAATTAAAAGACTAAGAGTATATTTTAACCATTTTCATATTATTGGATTCCAACTTTAACGGTGTTTCACGTTAATAAAACATAAATTTATATTAAAAAAATAATGTAAAATTAATATTTTTGCCAAAAATTAAATAATAAACAATATAAAAATAAAAAATATCAAATATTAAATGGCTATAATAGCCTCAGGTCTTCAATATGTTTAAATAAAATAATAAAATACTCAATTTTGTTATTTATAAAATCAACATATAATTTTTTATAGTATGATTCTTTCAAAAAATTACTATGAACACTTCCAACTTTCTAAACGGATCGAGACTTTGCGAAAAAAATCTTAGATTCTCACCGACTCAACTCGATCATTTTTCATATAAATATATATATATACACTCTTCCGATTCTTAATATAAGACCTAATTATTAAGTTAGTTTTGATCCTAAATATAAACCCATTTATCATATTTATCATTTTTTTTAAATTATCCCAATGAATACTCCCTCAACCATAATCAATCCCTCAACCATAATCAAATAGAAGAGGGAAAAGAAGTATTAAGAAAGATAATTATAGTGTTTTAGAAAAAACGTGTCACATTTCTTATAATTAACTAGCTTACCTAGCTTTCTTAATCTAATCAAATTAGTTAAATGAATCTTATATTAAAAACCAAAAGAGTATATATTATATAATTGTCCATAACGAACGGATGTTTATTGTATTTGAACTGTGGATGTAGGACTATGGCTAACAAATCCTCGTTCGCGAATCCTGGAGGCGTATTTCCTGCCTCCCATAATTTCCAACGAAACAAAGTACCCCAACTTTGGCTTCTATGATGTCCATAAATATTAGCCATCATTCATCGTTTATAAGGCAGGTTAAAGAAGTCAGGACAAAAGGCATTAGGGAGAATAAGCTGCTAAATGGATTGAGCTAGTGAACATTTTCTAAAATATGATCCAGGTCCTCAGTTTCACAATCATCATCAACAAAAGTTTACTTGCACAGAACTCGCCATGAAATAACCTATACAAACAAAAAGCAAGTTCATTGTCTTTACTTGCAGAGAACTTGCCATGTAAATTGTTCACATAAAGCTGACAAATGAAACTTCACAGGCCATAGTCTTGTCCTTCCCCAGTTGTATCGTCAGACCAGAATCTCCCTCCTCCTCAGTATGTAGCTTGAGGAAGTAACATGTTACAATCTGCATGACGTTACATGTGTACTAGCCAGAATCATTAGAACAGAATCTCATAGGGGAAGAACGTTGTCATACCTTGGTATTTTCAGTCATATGGATTCCCAGAATTTCCAAAAACATGAACTAGGAAGGAGATGTTAATGGTGTTCGTGAGTTCAAAAACACACACATCACCCACTTCTAAGTTATTGTCTTTTGCAAAACAGGGCCACCCTCTATTGAGGCGGAACTTGTACTGCTTTCCTTCTTCCCTATTGCACTTCACACGCCAAGTTCTACCATCTGAAACCCGCAGAAGAACTGCTCCTTCTTTCTTCTGCTTCAAATACTGATTCACAAAATTTGCCGGTACATTCTGCAATTTTTTTAATTAGGTTAGCAACTAACAACTCAACTTTTCCTTCTTTCTTTTAGCAGAAAATTGTGGGAAAGCTAGATTCAATGCATTTCATTTGCATTTCTCTAGAAACTTACCAAAGAGCTCTTGACATATGCTGGTTGCATGACAATTTTGAAATAGGGATTTTTGGCCGTGAAAGTGTTGACTCTCTGTAAAGCTCTGTCCTTCTCATCCCAAGTCAGTGGTTTCTCCTTTTGTTTTTTAATAGCCAAGGATTTTGGACTTTTTTTAGTGGAAAAATTGCTCCTACCCGCGGTTTCTGCAGAAACGTAAGCATGAGTCTAAGGACAAGACTAACGACAAAACTCACAGACAATTTTTCATGTTTGCTATAAAGAAGAACACGTTATAGCTCCTTCAAGTGTTGTCCCTGATAGATCATAGTAAAATATGACATCATAATGATAGACGACAAGAATAAAACAGGAGCTACCTTCTGATTCAAGCTTGATAAGATTCGGTTCTGCTTTCATGGACAATAGCTTATTCCCATCTGAGTGCATTTTTTTCTGATTAGACGTCCTTTCAGCTTCTTCAGCTCTAATTTTCTTGCAAGGGCGAATAGAAGATGATAATGGCGGTTTTCGGCTCATTACTTTAGGCAGAGGAGGCTTCTCATGCAAGATTTCAACTGAATCAGAATCATCATTAATTTGTTGGATGTTTCTACGAAGAGGGTAGTCTATTTCTAATGCACTCTTGTCAAAAATGTTCACATTAAAGTAACAAGTTCCAGTTCCCTCATATTTGAACACCACCAAATGGCCGTGATCTAAAGAGTAGTATCTGACAACTTCATGCCAACCCTTCTCAAACCAAACCTCACCATTTTCATATTTTGCCCAATGTATTTCCCATTGAGTTCCATCTGGAGGCCTCAGACAAACGGGATTTTTCATGCCACCTCCATATTTTTGTATAAAATTGTCTGGCACTTTCTGAAAAGAATCTGTTGTTAGCATTACAGTATACATATATACACACACCATGAAGTTCAACGACCAGTCAAATGGTTTTATACAGTATTCCCAGCAAGAAGACTGAAATTGTTAGTTATTACTTCCATCAGAGATCGAAATAAGTTGGTGTTCTGTAACCCGAAACAAGGGTCCGAAGCACAAACCTGGAAGAACAATATAGGGATAGATTAAGAAAAATACTTACAAGCTTTCCTTCTTGAAGAGAATATTCGAGAATGATCTTGAAGAAATGGATAGCCTTGCATGGGTGACATTGAGAAGCCATGGACGATATTGAAGCCGGGAAGCAGTTCTTCACAATTGTTTACACCGAGAAAATGCAAGAGAGGTGTATATTTATTAAGCCGTGATAACCCACAACACATAATGATAAATGAATACGCATATGGGTGAGATTGCAGGCTCTTGAGCTTCTCTATTTCCAAGAGGCAAAAATCATGCTACAAATGGACGAAAGGAATTGGCATTCAGCTTTTATTTCTCAGAAAATTTGTGGGAACTATAAATGAACGGGTAGCTTTTTAGGAATGCTGGCTCCTAACCGCTAGGCTCGTAGGGAAAGGAAAAACCGACATGTCGTGTTAGTACGAAAAAGAGATTTGGATGAACTACGTCGGCAGAAGGTGATGGGATTAATTAATTGAATTGTTTTGTGTGGTCTATTTTCACGTATGGATCATGTTTTCTTTTTTGGGGCTTTGAAAATGGAAACGACTCGTCCATCTCCAATGAACCAAGGTATTAGTGCAGTCTAGTCCAGATTGGTACCTTTTCTTAATTAATTGGCCAAAAATTCACATATTTTTAATGACGATTGATTTTACAGCAAGACTTCATCAACATGCCATCCCATCCAATCCTCAAATGATTCGGCATCGTTTCACTATTGACAAGATTAAATAATTATTTTACGTAGTACTATGAATCAGCATCATTTTAGTTATCAGTAATCATAGCGGGGAATTTATTATGCTATAAATCATAATTCATAAATCATCAGTTGTTATTATTGTTGAGAAATCAGATAGAGATGGTTATTGGGTTTTGGCCTTTGGTTGTCCAGGTGTTGGTTGTAAATTTGGTCACCATTTAATTCAAGGATGCTCTTGCTCACCCACAAATATGTGAATCGTATGATGTATAGTAGTTCATTCCCATGGGTAATGTTAAGTGCTGTTTTTTGGGCAACAAATCATATTCTCACAGGCACGCTTGTTGTTGTGATTTTTCATTTTCTGTCCCTCTCTTGCAGGCTGCCCCACGAGTCTCCTTCTCAATTCTCAAACGAGATAAATATGGGCGGGGGGCTTAGTGTGCTTTCTTTTGTGACAGTGGCTTATGACCTGCTGTGGCCCTGAGGTTCCGTGTCAAATTCTATCCACTTCCCAAGAATTGATTCCCTTCTGTTCTTTTAATATGATTTTTTCGGCCAGCTTTTGCACATTCAATCGAACTAATATTATTATCAAAATTATTTTCACCGATAAGGGTTGGCGTAATAAATATAAATAATAATCTTTTTTATCCTTATAATTTTAACTTGATTTTAACTCAGTACTTACATTTAAATTCCTACAAATCAATACACTTAACTTCTCTACAAATCAATCCCTATAATTTTAATTATTTTATATTTAGTCTTTTTGTTTTAAAAAATAAAATGATGTCTCATAAAGACAAGGGATTAAGGGCCTGTTTGGGAGTGCTTAAAAAATTTCTTATAAGCATATTTCATGTAAGCCGAGACAAAATTCTTCTTACATATTTACATCGTATTTCATAAATCACTTAAAAAGCTACATATAAGCTGATCCAAACTGACACTAAAATCACAAGAACCAAGTTACAGTGAGTTAAAATTCAAAGATTGAATTACAAGTAAATCAAAATTATAAAAACAAAGTTATATTGAGTCAAAAACAGAGTTATGTTGAATTAAAATATAAAGACTAAGTTACAGACCAATTAAAACTATAAAGACCAAGAAATTAATTTTTCCTTAATAAAACTAATGCCTTACAAAACTCTTAAGTAACAACAATACTTTGAACGAGCTTAAAGGGGAAAAATATAGTTTTTTATTAGTAACTCTTTTAACCTAGTTAGCAAATTTCTTGAATGATGGAGCGCGCATAACTGAAGGGGGGAAAATAATTAAGAAAACTTGGTATCCGAAGATTCAAGGCTCGGTATCAACCTGATCCCCAAAGGGATATCTTAAAATGGTGAAAATTGAACAACTTTTCTATTTTTAGTTTGAAAGCTGTTTGCCCCACATGGCCACATGTTTCCATTTATCGGTTCTCAACTGCATGAATGTAATTATTCCCAAAACCTTAGGAATTTCGATCGATTTCCAGGCTTTTGATAACAGGAAATCAAAAGGGCAAAAGGAAAAAACAGTTTTAACGACAAGATTTTGATGAACAATTAAGAACAAAAGAAATTTTCTTAAAATTTTCCAGGGCAGAGCTTAACAGATTGAACAAGTCCTGCAGAAAAACCCGTGCCCATGAAAAAATATTTGAAAACGCGATTAATTTGATTGACCAAGTTTCGTAAACATGGCCTCTTTCAATTTCGCAGTTGAAATTAGAACAGAAAAAAGAACACCCCGAGCCTCAAAATCCTGAAGCCATGCTCTGCGGTGATATGAGAAACAGAGAAGGGATTTTTTATGGTGAAGAGAGAGATGAAACTACGTCGCGAGATTCTCTAGCGTAAAGCATGTACAAATAAACCCAGAGCACAGAACCAAACCCAGAAAAAAGCAGAAGGAAAAGGAAAACTAACACAAACTATGATGTACCTCTCAAAAAGTTTACATAGTGTGTATGGATACACAAACACGCACACACTTCATATATGTTTAAGCTAAGCGTTGCCGACGGGGATTGCCCTATTGGACAATCCAAGAGGAGATCGAGAACGTTGGCGTTGGCGTGTGAAATCTCGAAGAGAGATAGGTCTGATCTCTACGTGCTGGAGCGAAGGGTGCTTGATCTTCTCTATTTCTTGTTTTATTTTCATCACTTGGCTGTGAATTGCGACGCCCATATATCCGTCCGATCCTTCCCTCCTGCTCGGATTCTTGCTGCCGCTTTTTTCTCTGCCGCCGGTGACGGTGACGGTGGCGGTGGCGGTGACAGCGGTCGTCATGCAGTCCATCGATCTACGGGCAAAGAGCTAGAGAGGTCTCTTGATCGCTTTGGCCGCTCTGGAGGTTGAAGCTACGAATGAAACGCATTGCCCACCGGGAAGGCGTATTTATATCAGCCCGAAAAAATTGCGAGGGGAAAGAGCCCACGATGTTTTTTCTCCACTGAAACTTTGTTTGGCGCGATATTGCGATAAGCATAAAATTCTGTTTTATTTCCCTTTCTTTGTTTTTTCACAACAGTTTTTGAATAAATTATTATCCAAACATACCTGAAATCTGCTTAAGGGTTCATATGCAACTTATTTTTAGTTATCTTCAATTATATGCTAAACAAAAAACATTGAGAATTACAAGTGCTGAAAATAAATAAATTATATCAAATCAAAAACATGAATTTCCATTTTTCTTTTTATAGTCTTCTCCTATTTGAATTTTTTTGATGGTAGAGATTTGGTGCGTGTGCGTTGTAAGTTAGATGAATGTGATGGGTGTAATTATATTTATTTAATGAAATGCATGTATATGTCTTTTGGCAACCAAATCTTGCAGCGTGGTAACCGAATAATGAAATTTTGATATTGACAGTGAAAGATGATCCAACACGTGGAAGGGAGTAGAAAACCCATCATGTTCACGATAAATATCACCACTTATTATTGATGACAATGCAAAAAAAAGAAAAAAGGTCAGCAATTTTCACGTTTTTAACTCGCTTTCATACCCGATCGAGATTGGAATTTAATATTACTTTCGGTTTTAATTATAGGATCTTGTTCGTAAACTATAAATAAAATCTTATAATTAGAAGCGGAGGTAATATTGCAAAAGACGTGCTTTAAAATAGTAATCTCATTAATTAATTAAAATTTGGCTAAAAATTTATTTTTAAGGATTTTTATTTTTTTTTCAATTTTGATGCGCATGTATGATCTTAATATTAAAAAAAAAAGAGTAATTTCGCGTCCATTCAAATGGGAACGTAACACCTAAAAGGATAGGGAAGTAAGAAATAACCCAATAGCCGCTGACCAAGTATAAGTTATTGTCTATGGTCGACTCATATCATACCCACTTCGGCATAAAAATTTCCAAACCGGATTGAGACGGCACCATGTGGAAGACTGAGAATTCGCAAGTCCACTATACAAGTTGGGTCAAATACTCAAAGATATTTCAAACACTTGGCCACCCAATTTTGTATTCATTTGGTGGCGTGACATGAAACTGCCACAACCAATTAGTTTTTAGGCCGCCTGTTCATGTGGGGGCGGCATTCCTACTAGTCCACACTTCCTTTAAACTTCTAGACCCTTTTTCCCTAGTAAAGAGGCCGCGGCCAAGGCCTTGCAATGAAAAGGGAAACTAATTCACATAGGAAGTGTAGGAGTTTTACATCCCACCGGAGTCGTTGAGAATTCCCCATGATGAGGTTCTTGATCTTTTTAATCATATTAATGAGAGGATGATCCTGAGAGTATTTGTGATGATCAGATTGATTTCTTCGAATGAGTGGCGTCGAGTTGGGAAGAATTCTCATCTCAACACAGGCACTTCAGGACAATGCCTTGGGGTCCTAAATGTCGTGCCACGTGTCTTCCAGAGAGGCCTTCCTTCATCTAACTGTTTTGGACGTACATAAAACAAACTTGGGGTGGCTTAGGACCAGTCAAATGAAGCCGCTTTTAAACATACACAGCTTGGTGAGAGCAGTTGGGCATCCACAGAGCCGATGAACGGAATGTCGGAAGTTTGACCACAACTAATGGACTTCATGTGTGTAAATGGACATAGATTAAAAAGATTGGGGCAAAAAAAAAAAGATTTTTATCTCCCTTGTGGTTGAAAAAAATGAAACACAGAAATAAAAATAAGATACGACTCTCGATCACTTCGAACCCACAAGCACATGAACATAAACAAACTTGATCCAACCTTTTATCAAACTGAAGTGCTTGCTTTGGGGGTGCAAAGGTGAAAAAGATAAAATAGGACTAAGACATATATATATATATATATATATATAAGTAAAATTTTATCTTGTCTTACACAAAACTTGTTTATAATTCTTATTCCAATTCTTATTCCAAACAAGACCTAATATGAATATTGATCATACAAACCTACCCAACCACCCTCCCAAAAAAAAAATCCAAAATCACTTTTTCTGTCTTGATTTATGGAGTGTTTGGATTATCCAATAAGCACTTTTAGAATTTTTCAACAAATCAAGATAAATTCCTCTACATGTTTACTAAATAGACTTTCAAAAAAATGGTTGTCTCCTCTTAAACACCCTTTTTAAGAGCTACAAATGACCGCGTCATAAAGTAATGGCACGCGGCCTTAAAATATCGGTGCTTCCCTCAAGGGCGGATTAAGATCAACATCACTGAAACTCAGGACCACGCGCGAACAATATCGAGGAATATACCTATATGTAGCAATAAAATTCAACAATCCAAAACAAACTATGCAAATGCAATAGAATAAACTCCAGATATTTTAAATCATTGTCATAAGAGAAACACTCCTCCCAGTAACTTGCATAACAAACAAAATTGGATGGAAATAGAGGTTCTCTTCACAATCGAAGCAGACCAAGAAGTAGCCTCCAAAGAACAGCTTCACTTGAGAGGAATGAACCTTGATGAGTGGGTGGCACCAATACCAGGTCTACCGTGCTTGACAGGCTTGTATGAAATTGAGAACTCAGCCAAGTAATGGCCAATCATCTCAGGTTTGATCTCAACCTGGTTGAAAGTCTTGCCATTGTACACTCCAATTATGCTCCCAATCATCTCGGGCACAATAATCATGTTCCTGAGGTGGGTGCGAACTGGCTCTGGCTTTTCACCGGGCGGAGCCTCCCTTTTCTGAAATTATGCAGAGTTGCTCATAATTAAGGACATAGTTTCGAACAACTAATATCTTACATACAAACCGCTATCAGTAGATCCATTTCCAATGTAAACATAAAAGAAACATCATCAATTAAAAGAAGGACGCAGAGATGTCAGACAATTATTGTAAGAGTTCTTTTACAAGAGATGTCACGAACAATTCACAACAACGCCGATGGGAGACGTATTGCAATACATGCATCATCATGCTTATAAGTACTTTACAATAACATAACATATCAAGACATAAAACAAGATTTTCAACGCTTGGATTAAGGGCTGCAGCAAGTAGATGTATCGAGCCAACTTCAAAAACTAACCTAAAGTTCATTTTAAATTCTGTAATGTCGCCATGTACGGATCAGCAGTGGGTCACGTGTTCAGCCCCACTAAACGTAAACACTAACTAGCATAGAGAACGCAAACAATAACAAGCAAGAAAGGGGACTTCAACATTTACTTTCAAGAAACTCAGAATATAATAATAGAGTTCGACTGGATTACCAGAACCGATAGTTTGCCAACAACTAAACAAATTTAGAGTGTAATTACCGCTTTGCGCAGCTTCTTAATCAAGGCCATAGGCTTCCTCTTCAGCCCTCTCTGAAACCTATCACAGCACCACCACCACCATATAACTAAAGGCAATCCAATTCACAAACTCCACCAGAACATAGACATAGACAAATCAAGAGTCCAGAAGAGGGAGGGAGTTTAAGATTTACCTTCTGCGGGCTCGGGCATGGAAGAGCTTGACAAGCTCATCGGTTGACATGTCCAGAAGAGCGTCCAAATCAACGCCTCTGAAGCTGAACTTCTTGAACGTTCTCTTCTTTGGCTGTCCTGGGGCAACATCAGCATCCGCCTGCAATGCAGATTCATCACAGATTCAGAAACACGCGAATGGATAATGGAGAAAACTTGACGAGATCGGCCCTTACCATGGCTGCAAAATGAAATCGCAAGAGCAAGTGGCCGCTACGGCTTTGGGTGAAGGGAAAGTTCGTCTACTGGAACTGAAACCCTAGGGAGTGATAAGGAGCGTTGTACCCAGAGGCTCCGTGTTAGTTTGGTAGCCTCCTTTATGGGCCTCAAATGCATAGTATAGTGACCGGGCCTTTTGTGATTAGGCTATGATCCATATCTTAGCCTGCCTGGAGCGATAATCCACCAGATGGTGATAGTATGTTTTCCATCAGACCGGCCCAGAATGGCCCCTTACAGACCCGTTAGAGGTGGCCCAGCTCAGGCCCTTTTGGCCCCGTTTTTAATATATGACCGTTGACTTAACTGCCATTTTTAAACTACCAATAAGATTGAGTCTAGTGGAAGGGATTAGTTTCCCATAATATAGTGAATCAAAGTTTGAATCTCCATTAAAAGAGGTGTTTATATTTAATACTCGTCAGTGTTTTGAACAGGATTGCCTAATGCCTCCAATAAGAAGATATATGTACTTACCAAGAAAAAGAACTACCATTTTTAAGCTTCTTGTTTAGGGCATTGCCATCCTTTGTAGCAAAACCAAAAAACCCATTTTTATTCATTTTAACTCTTTCACTTTGTTCACGTTAATTTGATCCATGAAGTTTTGACATGTGTCATGTTTTTTTTTGTTAATATATTAAATATATTTATAAATTAAAAGTTAGAAATAATTAGTGAAAATCATCTTGTGTGATCCATTTGCGGTTATGTTGTTAAATCAGATGCCATTAATTTCCAGGAGAGTACAAGGTGAAGAGGCATCCAGATGAAAGAATCAGATTCTTTATTTTTGTTAAAAGAATCGAGGTCTTGGGTTTTATTCATTAAAAATACATACCAAGAAGAAAACGCTTTTTGTCGACCAGGAATGGCAGCCACCTGAGCAGGAATTCAGGTGTGAACTTTGGATGCGGGAGGAAGAAAATGCCTTGAAATTCATCTTAGAACCCTCCCTTGTCGCTTATTGACTTTTCTTTTCTTTTTTTCTTTTTAATGTTTTCTGGCCACGTATGTACGTGTGCGCATGTAAAACGCGGCTCAAATGAAATTTTATTTATACTTCGTAGGACCCATCGGACTTTCCACTAGACAAGAACTATACGTCTAGTAATCTGTTCTTTCTCGAATGGAAAAATACAACTTTTGATTTCTTAAATTTAGGCTCATTTAGGTTTTAGTCTCTGAAATTTGAGACCCGAAATATTGATCTCTCAAATTTATTCCATTGCAAAACGTTAGTCCCTGCTAGTCAGGCGTCATTACACTTTGCTGAGTTGGCAAAAACGGTGAGTTATGATGATTTGGCATCTGACCTCACAACACCACATGGAGAGTAGGAGATCTGATTTGGAAAGGAAAAAGAAAAAAGAAAAAGTGCCCTTGTTCAAAACGCATCCCTGTTCCAAAAAAAAAAAGATGATTTGGCATCCTCTTGAGGTTGTTTGGCTGTATGGGCGTGTTGCAACCGCTAGTAGGCCCCTTCCGGTGAGCCCCTGTCATTGTCGTCGCTGCCGCTGCTGGTGAGCCCAAATGACATGTCTCTTTGAGACATCCTGCTGCTCGCTCTCTCATGCATTCCTTCCTCCCGTTTTGTGCTCATCTTCCTGCTTCTCGATAATCTTTTGCTCAACACTTTTCCTCCACCCTTCACAACTCCTCACTTCTCGTTTCTGTTCTCATTTCTTTAGCTCTATAGCTCACCCGTAGAAGCAAAACAGACAAACAAAGAACACCGTACAAAAATCTTCTATCCAGCTTTTAAACAATGTCAAGCCCAGGCCCTTGATTCCCAGCCATGACCAAACCAAACCCAGCGCCATCATTGCTGTTGGGAGTTGTGACCGGACTTTTGTACTCTTTCACCATGCAACTACACAATGTCTTTCTTGCCGGCCGCCGGTGACCTGTTGTGTGGTGAGGTTGCTAATGAAGTTGTCTCCGGTGAAAACCACACGACGTTGCCGCCGTACCTGTCGTCGTATTCACCGCCTTCCAACGACGCAATCATCGGTGGACTCATCGGCGTAGAAGCACATCACATGAGCGATCCAAATTACCTGCGGCGATGCCGTTTTCGTTTAATTGACATGACCGCTCGCTGCTATGTTTGGCTCGACGGAGGGAAGGGGAGGGGAGGGATTTTAATCAAGGGAAGGGGAGGGGAGGAAAGGGGAGGGTAGCTATAAAGGGGAGGGGAGGGGAGAGAGGGGGAAGGGAGGGGAGGGATTTTAATGATCTCCTGTTTGGATTGATTGGAGGGGAGGGGAGGGAGCAATTTTAATAATACCTTATTTTGTTCTAATAAAAAATTGACTATTTTAGCCTCATAAAATTTAAATGAATTTTCTCACTTTTTATTTTGTTAATATATAACTATATATATATATATATAATACAATTCACTAATTTTGATTTGTAAGATACAGTCACACACTTATAGAATATCAAGACAAAAAAGTCACAAGTGATAGATTTAAATCAGAGAAAAGACTTTGAAGGTGAAAGAAAATACCAACGGCCTCTTAGAATTAGAAGAGGAGAAAAAAGTTTACAAATGCTCGCTAATTTTGGAGATAATTATCTTAATAACCTCTTATTAGATACTCAAAAGAACTCTCTTATGTAAAAATGTTTATGACTGATTAGAGGTTAACAAATCGAAAGGGCATATAAGGAATTAAAATTATCTCTCACCTCCCCTCCAAAAAACCCCACTTTTGGAGGGGAGGCTAGAAGGGAAGAGGAGGGGAGAAGAACCCCTCCCCTCTTTAAAAAACATCTTAACCAAACAAGGGGAGGGGAGGAGCTCCCCTCCCCTTCTAAAAAATTATACCAGCCAAATAAGGGGAGGGGAGCAACTTCCCTCCCCTCCCCTCCGAAAACCCCGTACCAAACGGAGTGTAAGAGTTAAGGCCCTTTTTTTTTTTAATAATTTTCCAAATCAGATGTCCAACTCAACAAAGTGTAACAGCGCCTGACCAGCAGGGATTTTATAACATAATAAATTTGATCGACCAATACCTTGGGTCCCAAATTCCAGGAACCAAAACCCAAATAGGTTTGCATTTGAGGTACTAAAAGTTATATTTTCCCTTCTCAAATTGGCAAAGATATATCGCAAATTTACGCAACAAAAAAGCTGTTATGCCATTTGATTATCACGCCTCTTTAAGCATTATGAACGTCCTCTATATATATGAAAACTTAAATTTGATTAAAATATATTATACAAATATGAGCCAATTGTCCGGTTACTCAAATGTTATTCACTTGAAAATACTAGATTCAATCCTTATTATAAGAATTAATTTAACATTTCATTTGGTCTTAATTTATCTTTTATATCTATCCATTTTTTTCCCAAAATATTCTTTTGTAATAGTTACCCCTATTAAAACTAATACACATAATCAGCACATAATTAGCAAGGTGTTCTATTAAAAAAAACACATTTATTACAAATAATTAATTTCATAAACTTCTTTAATTCAATTAGTCAATCGGCTCTTATATTAAAAATAAGAGGTATTACGTGTTAGACCAGCCAAGGACAACAATAAAATTCAACAATCCAAACAAACTATGCAAATGCAATAGAATAAGCTCAGATATTTTAAACCATAGTCCTAACAGAAACACTATTCCCAGCAACTTGCGTAACAAACAAAATTGGGTGGAAATTGAGGTTCTCTTCACAATCGAAGCAGACCAAGAAGTAGCCTCCAAAGAACAGCTTCACTTGAGAGGAATGAACCTTGATGAGTGGGTGGCACCAATACCAGGTCTACCGTGCTTGACAGGCTTGTATGAAATTGAGAATTCAGCCAAGTAATGGCCAATCATCTCAGGTTTGATTTCAACCTGGTTGAAAGTCTTGCCATTGTACACTCCAATTATGCTCCCAATCATCTCGGGCACAATAATCATGTTCCTGAGGTGGGTGCGAACTGGCTCTGGCTTTTCACCGGGTGGAGCCTCCCTTTTCTGAAATTAAGCAGAGAGGTTGCTATAATTAAGGGCATAGTTTCGAACAATTAATATCTTACAAACGAACCGCTATCAGTAGATCCATTTCTAATGTAAACATAAAAGAAATGTCATCAATTAAAAGAAGGACCCAGAGATGTCAGACAATTATTTGTAAGAGTTCTTTCACAAGATATGTCACCCACGATTCACAACAATGCCTATGGGAGACCTATTGTAATAGACGCATAATCATGTTTCCAAGTAGTTGGACATTAACATAACACATCAAAACACAAGCCAAGATTTTCAACTCTAAGATTAAAGGATGCTGCAAGTAGATCTCTCGAGCCAACTTCACGAGCTAACCTAAAGTTCACTTTAAATTTTGCAATGTCGCCATGTACGGGTCAGCAGTGGGTCACATGTTCAGCCCACTCAACGTACCAGTTCAATCCTCCATGACTATGCTAAACACTAGCTAACATAGTTAACGTAAACAATAACAGGCAGGAAAGGGGACTTCAACATTTACTTTCAAGAAACATGGAATATTAAAGTTCCACTGGATGACCAGAACCGATAGTTTGCCAGCAACTAAACAATTTTACAGTATAATTACCGCTTTGCGCAGCTTCTTAATCAAGGCCATAGGCTTCCTCTTCAGCCCTCTCTGAAACCTATCACAGCACCACCACCACGATATAACTAAAGGCAATCCAATTCACAAACTCCACCAAAACACAGACAAAGACAAATCAAGAGTCCAGAAGGGGGAAGGAGTTTAAAATCTACCTTCTGCGGGCTCGGGCATGGAAGAGCTTGACAAGCTCATCGGTTGACATGTCCAGAAGAGCGTCCAAATCAACGCCTCTGAAGCTGAACTTCTTGAACGTTCTCTTCTTTGGCTGTCCTGGGGCAACATCAGCATCCGCCTGCAATGCAGATTCATCACAGATTCAGAAACACGCGTATGGAAAATGGAGAAAGCTTGACGAGATCGGCACTTACCATGGCTGCAGAGTGAAAGCGAAAGAGGAAGGGGCACTAGGGTTCTGGGTGAAGCAAAAATTCTTCTACCGGAACTAGAACCCTAAGGAACGCTGTGTCAAAGATGCTAGTCAGAGTTTGATGGCTTGTTTATGGGCCTGGACATTTATCATGTTATAGGGCCTTTTGTGTATTGTCGATAATTGATCCACGACTGTTGTCAAAAAAATTGGTTTATCCGCGACTTAGCAGGCGCCGCCGAAAAATCCACTGGGTGATTATTGGTATGTTTTCTCTGGCAAAACAAAAATTAGTAGCTCCAGTCTTTAATATAAATCTAATTTAATTTTTAATTTGATTCGAATATAAGATCTCAATTCATTTTATTTTTTATATTTATCTATTTTTTAAATGGTTTCTGTAGTAGTTGCACATGTTAAAAATTCCATCAAATGTTGGTAAAAAAAATTCCATCAAATGATAATTTTAACTAATACTTATGATTAGTATGGGTATTTAAAAAAAATACATATTTAATATAAAAAACTAATTTAAATAATTTTTTTGATCTTTCTAAACTAATCAATTAACTCTGATACTAAGAATCGGAAATAATATCACTCGTGTTATGTTTTCAATCAAATCGGCCCATTGTTCATACTATGAAGTTTTGTGCCCAATTTTTAATATTCAAATGTTGACTTAACTACCAAGGGGGAATTGAGCCTAGCGGAATAGAATTGTCTTTAACAGAACAATATACGTAACCAGAAAAAATTGTTAACTTAACTACCATTTTTATTCATTTTAACTTTCACCTTTGATCCAGGAAGTTTTGACTTGCGTCATGTTTTTTGTCAATATATTAAATATATTTATAAAATAAAAGTTAGAAGTAATTAGTGAAAATCACATTGTGCGATCCATTTGCGGTAGTGTTGTTAAATCAAATGCCATGAACAAAGTGAAGAGGCATCCAGATGAAAGAATCAAATTCTTTTAATCTCGATAAAAGAATCGAGGTCTTAGATTTTACTCCTTTGGTTCTTAACATAGAACCTAATTGTTGAGTTGGTTTTAATTCTAAATATAAGACATATTTCTCATATTTATCAATTTTTTCTAAATTACCCATATGGACACTTTCTCAACCATGATTAGATATTAAGAAAGATGATTATGGTGTTTTAGAAAAAATATATCATATTTCTTATAATTAACTAACTTACCTAACTTTTTAAATCTAATCAAATTAGTTAAATGGATCTTATATTAAGGATCGGAAAAATATTTATTAAAAATACATACCAAGAAGAAGAACGTGTTTTGTCGACCAGGAATGGCAGCCAAGCCACCTGAACAGGAATTCACGTGTGAACTTTTGATGTGGGAGGAAGAAAATGACTTCAAAATTTAATTTAGAACTCTCCCTCGTCGCTTTTTTTATTATTATTATTTTTGGGTTATGTATGTGTGTGCATGTAAAACATGGCTCAAATGAAATTATATTTTATACTTCGTAGGACCTACCAGACTTTCCACTGGACAAGAGCTATCCCTCCAGCACTTTTGTTTTTTTCCCCCCAAAGTATAGGTATCCTATTAGAAGTAATCATATTCGAAACACTGTGAAGCACTAAATGTGGACACTTCTCTCAACAAAAATTTAAACCTTGATTTGCTACGTTGTGCTTGGTTCATGTCTATTTAGTATGCTCAGACTTTTTTGTCCCTCAGCATCTACATGTTTTACTTTTCTAGAAGCACATTTCAAATTTAATTAAAAGTATTTATGGTCTATAAATATTTTTAATTAAATTATGCTATTTTAATTATAACCGGTTTGACTCTGAGTCAACTCAATCCAACCCATTAACTATTAAACCATTACCTCTCCCGCTCAAGTTTTTTGGACCTTAGAAAACCTTCAGTGTTATCCGCCTCTATGAAAACTTAAATTTTGATTAAAATATATATTACATAAATCTGAGCCAATTTTATGGTTACTCTGTATTGTTTATTTGAAAATACATAAAGTGTTAAACCAAACAACGACAGGAATAATGAATATCCACGCTAGTTACGTACGTGTACATGGATTTCAAAAAGGTAAATAATTTCTATAAAAATAAATCTACAACGTGACCAATAAATAACAAAAAATGATAAAATAACAACAACCCGTGGTTATGTTTTTATAAAGCAGAAGGAATGTTAATAATTTAAAATGCTTTTTCAACATTAGATCTGGTCCAAGTTGGAGAATGTTGATTCCTCTCTTATATGGTTGTTTAACATCTTCGTGCCCATGTCACGCCCATCACCTATCACGTATTTTCGACGACATTGGAATTCATACAATATAAATAGCTCTGTGACAAACTAAAATATAATTCGGGGGGTTGTGTTTTATGGGGGAAAAAACATATTTGCTAAAAAATTCAATTATAAAATACACAATCAGCATAACTCATTTGAAAAAACATAGTAAAACGTCACATCTTAATTTGAACATCTAACAAATTTCTAATGTTAAAAAGTAGCAAGACGCACTTCGGATCCTTAATTTGTAGCATAAGATAAGAGAGAAAATACATAGAAGGATAAAAGGATAAAAGCAATATTTTTTTTTACCCGTGTCTTTCTACTACAAAATACTCCTCAAATATTCAATGTAAGACCTAATTTACAAGTTAATATTGATTATATATGTAAGATTTATTGTATATATTTATTAATTTTTTTAATTAACCATATTGAGAGAAAAAATATTTAAAAAATAATTATAATATTTTTAAAAATATATTATATTAACTAATTTAACTAATATTTTTTATTTACTAAATTAATACTACCTCTAGTCCTTAATATGAGATCCTGTTTAACTTTTATATTGGTCATAAATATAAGACCCTAATTTATTTTGTCTCTCATATTTACTTAATTTTTTTTTCAAAATAGTCCTTCTAATAATTATAGTTTTAGCCAACATATTTGATTAGTAAGGATATTTTTAGAAAAGACAATAACTATTTATTACAAATAACTAATTTAATTTTTTTTAAATTAGTCAACTGACTCTTATAATTAGGATAAGAGGTCGAAGTAATACTACAGGGACAGGGGGCAATTTGTTCAAAATAAAAATTCGAATCCAAGAAACAAACTGTCAGTAAGCGAGTAGCACGCGCGTACGTGGGAAGTCAAAACCCCTTGTATTTGAGTGACGCCATGCAAAGCAAGTGAACTGCGCGTTCCTTCCACAAAGTCAACTGGCCGACTTCAACCTGCCAAGCCGTGTACACTAGCGCAGACTCCCTTAAGCAAACAACCAATAATTAGAAAAGCAATTATATTTAATTATCCATGAGATTTATATTTAATTATTTATGTACACTGTGGTTTACTTTAGGTCCTGCATAATCCACAGATTTCTTTTTTGGTTGGGATGAAACGGCTCATTCTATATTACCTAAATAATATTAAAAAACTGAAATTATAGAGATGAGCAGATTAATCTTTTTAATAATATTTTTGTAATTTTAGGTTGTTTGCAGCAAGAAATTGTTGCATCAAACGAAAATATAGCTTGTCGACGAAATTTGAAAAGGAAAAATAAGTCATACGCACTAACTTGTGTATATTTATGTTCCGCATATGGCTGCGGATGGATGGAGCTACGAAGAGCACGTGATATTAATTAATATATCTTCGATATTTAATATAAGAGTTAGTTTAATTTTTCATTTAGTCATAATATAATATTTCAATTCATTTTTTTTATATTTATTTATTTTTTCAAAATAGTTCTTCCAATAACTGCACATGTTAAAGATTTCATCAAATATAGCTAATACACATGATTAATAAAAATATTATAAAAAAACTAATACTTATTTATTATAAGTAACTAACTTAACAAACTTGGTTAATCCGTCCAAATTATCTACTCAACTAAATTTTATATTAAAATTCCGGACGCAGTAACTAACACAAGAACGACCAATGAGGAAGCGACAGAGAAGCGTGCGTCAATAGTCCATAATACTAATCTCTATCTGTAAGTAATATTCGGTTTGTTTGATGGATCAGTCCAGGAAATGGACAATTACGCGTTTTTTTATTATTTTATTCCACTAATTAGTTGTTCGTCGGCCACTTATCACAGATCAAATGCATACAGACGCGCACTTTCTCGCCCTCTTCTCTCTATATAGAGTTCCTCTAATCACACTCCTTCACGTCCAGCTTCGTTTTATTCGTTCTTTCCCTCTCCAGCTAGCAAATCACACATACATATATATATCTCTACATCTATAGATCTTCGTATAAATATCACAAACTCCACGCTCCCTCGTCGTCTATATCTTCTTTCTCTCTTTCTCTCTGGGTTCTTGTATCCCCTCAAAATATTGATTTCTCAGTTCTCTAAGTAAAGAATCGGAGAAAACTTCTCTGAAACATGGTTTGCTTGGTGTCTCGCTCAGGAAGGGAGTTGCAGAGATACAATAATATGGGATTCCGCCAAGTTGTGGGGTGAGTTATAAGATAAATCAAATTCGATCTTATAAGTAATTTTCCCACCTCTTCTTCTTAAACGCACTGTTTGCATTTACCTGGTTGGGTGTTTGGATGCCCAAAAAGTGTTTCTTAAAAGTATTTTTCGGTAAATCAAGATAAACTCCTCCATATATTTACTTCGCAGACCGTAAAATCACTATTAAAATCATGATTTTGTTTGGACCTGAGATCATTTGCTGGACTCCGTTTCCTTGATTTATGTCTAACAACTGTTTGTTTGTATGCGGCTGCCTAATTATATTTGGTCTCCATTTTTCACATGGGTTTCTGTTGAAACGGTGGATGGCCCCCGGCTCTTTTCATTATCATCATGAATGAATGGAAAAACCGAAAAGGGGTCATTCCGATTTGTGTTCATCATCAGTTTCTTTATTGCATTGATTATTCTGGGGGCTTCTTGGTTTCATTCATGCTCATTCTCACCGAAAACGTCAAATTCTGCAGATGCGTACCATACAGATATAAAGCAGACGTTAATGGGAATATAATGAGCAATGAATTGGAAGTGCTTGTTGTTAGTTCACAGAAATGTCAGAAGTTCATGTTCCCAAAGGTACATTTGCATTCGAGAGATCAGAATAACATATGCTATCTGGTGTTGCTTATTGTGGATCAATATAGATTGTGCCAAGACATTAACATCGTGATGATTTTCCTTTCTCAGGGGGGCTGGGAACTCGATGAATCTGTTGAAGAGGCAGCTTGTAGAGAATCCCTTGAAGAAGCTGGGGTCATCGGAATCGTTGAGGTACAATAATTAACACTCTCGATTATAGAACATATTACATAAGACATGTGAAGAACTTTGATACTATATATAATCTTCTAACGTCATGGAAACCTGAAATTCTTTGAAATGAACTGAACTTAGTTTTGATTTGCAACGTGGCAGGCTCAGTTGGGTCAATGGAGCTTCATTAGTAAAAGACATGGCACTTACTATGAAGGCCACATGTTCCCATTGTTTGTCAAAGAGCAGCTTGATCTGTGGCCAGAGAAACATGTACGAAGAAGACTATGGGTAAGTTTAGGATCCCATGATTCCTTTTCTGATGGAATACTTATATACTTAGCTCAATTATTTGCAGTTCCGAATGGTCCTATATTAATGTTGTTTATAATGTCTCTGTGCAGATGAGTGTTGCTGAAGCCAGAGAAGTTTGTCAGCACTGGTGGATGAAAGAAGCCTTGGATATATTGGTTGACAGGCTAATTACCTCACAGCAACAAATGGAGGACATAGCTCTGGCTGATTCTAACTGAAATTTGTGAAAAACAAGTTAGATATGCAAAATAGAAATTCTTAATTTTTTTCATGGGTGAATAGAAAGTGTTCAGCATATTAAATTCCAATGGTTAATATATGTAAGCAGAGAAGCTTAAAGAGGAGTGATCAGGGAAAGAGACACGGAATTGTAGAGAATGAAAAATATGAGTACTTTCTTTTTTATGCTTATATTGCATCATACTGCCTCATGTTCTTAATTAAGTGTTTGTTTGACTTTTATTTTGATTCTAAATATAAGATTTCAATTTACTTTATCTCTTATAATTATCTATTTTTTTTCTAAGATAGTTATTGTAACAATAATAGTTCTAGTCAACACATTTAATTAACAATAATATTTAGAAAAAACGACACATATTTATTATAAATAACTAACTTAACTAGTTTTCTTAATTTACTCAAATTAGTTAAGTAGCTCTTATATTAAGGACTGGAGGTAACATTACATTTTCTTACCACTAGAATATCCACGACATACCAATTAGAATAGAAATATTAAGGTTTATATCATGCTTCTCAATTATTGCGAGTTTAATGACTTGTTTGAAATGATTTTAAGTAATTTATAAGTCATTTTTCAATCCTAATTTATGAAATATGAAGTAAGGATATGGGATGAGGAACGTGCTTATTGATCCAAACAAATCCTTAATTGGATTGAATTTCGTCCTAGCTCCGTGCTATAATTATTGTCCATCAACAGCGTCAGTGAAGCTGAGGCAGGAATGAACTTGGAAGATCAAGGAATGTTACACGGTGATAAGCACTATATACATGGGTCAACTTCGCAAACAAATAAGCATAAGATCACAATTATAATTATACCGACAGATTAAGGCAGCCAAAAACAGCAGCATGTTTCTGGTCCCACGCAAAGTTTCTTGCAAACCAAATCATATAGACAAAAAGATACTACTTCCGGTTCTTAATACAAGGCATTATTTGATTTTTATTTTGATCATAAATATAAGATTTCAATCTATTTTGTCTCTTATATTTATATATTTTTTTCCAAAATAGTCATTCTAACAATAGTAGTTTTAATTAATATACTTGATTAGCAAGGATATTTTAGGAAAGACAACACATATTTATTGCAAATAACCAACTTAACTTCTTTCCTTAATCTTTTCAAACTAGTTAACTATTTTTTATAATTAGGATCGGAGTTAGTACTACAAATACTTTCTGGACATTCAAAATCTATCTTACCTAAAAACTAAGCGTTTTTCAAGAGTTCCCAAATTTCAATTTAACTAGATTTTTTAATCATAAAAAGACTACAGCTTATATCAGTAAAAAAAAAAACGTATAAAAAAAGAAATGAGGGATTTCATTGCACATGAATAATAATACCTCTAATTCTTAATACAAGAGTTAGTTTGACTTTTAATTTTGTTTTAATATAAGACCTCAATTCATTTTGTTTATCATATTTATTCTTTTTTTTAAAGATAGTTGCATATGTTAAATGTTTAATTAAATGACATTTGATTAATAAGAATATTTTAAATCAAATAATATATATCTATTATAAATAACCAACGTAGCTTATTTTCTTTTTTTTTTAGTCAAAACTTAATTTATTTTCATAATCTATTCAAATTAGTCAACTAGTTTTTATGTTAAGAATTAAAAGTAGTATATATTAAAAAACTATAGTGTATTTTGATTATTTTCATGAAAAATGTGTTTTTATATTTATATTAATTATTATTATTATAAAGTTTTTACGAGATGCCAAATGTATTTATTATGTTATCATGGGAAAATTATGTTTTATTATATTTTAATTAATCTAAAAATAGAAGTATAAAAAGGTCCTAAGAAAATGAAGACGACGGAATCTGTCTTGTTAAGCATCCGAAACCCCTAGCTGTACTCCAACCGAGTAACGGCGAAGATAAAAGCCGCATTTTGTTTTGCACTCTCCGTCGTCGGAGCGAGCGGCTTCAGCTATGGCGGAGAGGGGTGAGATCTCTGTTTTAACACTTGGTGGCAAGGGCTCGTCCCTCTCTTCCTCCTCACTCTATGCTATTGCCAGTGGCTGTGCTCTATTGCGCATTGATTCTTCTGCTCTCGATCGGCTTTCCTCCGTTCGGCGCGTTCCGCCTGCTTCCTGCAAGCACCAGATTATCTTCACTGACTCTCTCACCCTACAGGACCGCAGGGCCTTTCTCGTCGTGCTCCTGAATAAGCTCCTCCTCTCCAATGCCACGGGTATCCGGGCTGTTCTTCCTGAACTCATTGCTGAGGCCTTAAATTCTAAGTCCCAAAGTTTGAAATTCGAGGAACTCGATGTGACTGAGGACGAGATGTTTGTGCTGAAGAGTTCTTACTCTTCTCTGCTTGGGGTTTCTGCGATTTTGGATCACCAATCAGCGGCGTTATCTGCACTTGCGGATTTTGCTGCTGCTTTATCGTGTGAGGCGTCGAAGGCTGATGTAACCGCATTCGATTTGATGGATTCTGGGGACGGCAATGCTTCTAAGGAGAAGGTTGGTGTCTGCAGTGATATGAAAGTTCTGCTCAATGGGTCCAAGTCGGTGGGCAAGGTTAAGATTGAATCTATTTCGAAAATTCCTGTAGTTCATGGAACTATGAGGGAGCAGATGAAATCGGTGCATTCTAAAATGCGAGTGGAGTTGAATTCGGGTGTGGGGACAGAGGAAGCGGTAAGTGTAGTGCTGTTGGCATTGGCAGCAGCACTAAGAGACCTAGGTGAGTGTAGCTTTGTTCGTGTGAAAAATAATCTAGCTTCCATAGCTGTCAATGAACTGAGATCAAGTCTGGAAGGAATCTTTGCAAAGAAATGCCCCACTTTGTCTAGTTTAGGGGGAACTTTTGTTTTATATCTCAGGAAGGACTTCGGTAATTTTGTACATGAAGTGAAAATGCTTTTAGAAACAGTTTGGAGCATTGTGGCATGGGAAGTTGCAACAGCTTTTGCGGCACTTGAGCCCGTTGAACTTACTGAAAAGATTCAAGAACTTATTGAAAAGATTCAAGCTGTTGGGGAAAATGGAGATAACACAAAAGCGGAGAAGAAAAATGAGAAGAAGAAGAAGGTTGTTTTAGGCAAAGGAAACAGCGTGATTCTACAATTAATCAAGGACAGGTTGCGGAATAAAAGAGGCAATGCTGTTGATATGTCGGGATTATTGGATATATGGGTTGGTGATTTTCTATCGCTTTTTGATTTGAGGGATCCTGAATTTGATGTCTTTTTATCTAAAGTAAAGGACTTTATAGAAAGCAATGAAAGCAGAAGACTTCCCAAGATTCCTAAGGTAATTGTCTCAACTTATGATGAGCATGATTCAAGTTTGTGTTTATTTCTGTTTTTAGCTGGCTTATTTTTACACTTTAGTTGATTTTATTGACTGGTTAAAATGCACAAATCATTTCCACTTTTTTATGGTGTTGGGCTGTTGGCCACCAGTAATGGATTGATTTCTTTGGTATTTCTGTTCCTGGTTTGTGTTGGTTTTGGATTTGGTAATCTTACCATGAGCGTATCAATTTAATATCTAGGGGACTCGTGACTTTGCTAAAGAACAAATGACAGTAAGAAAGAAAGCCTTTTCAATAATAGAGGAAGTTTTTGAGAGGCATGGCGCCACAGCCTTGGACACTCCTGTTTTTGAATTGCGAGAAACTCTCATGGGAAAGTATGGGGAAGACTCAAAGCTGATTTATGATCTGGCTGATCAGGTACATTTGTTTATTGCTTGCTCATGTCTTGGCTTACTAAATGTGGGCATCCCTGATTTCCATGAAGTGCAAGAGATCAGCTGTATTATTCATGACTCATGGATAATGTGGTTTTCTATGAATTTGATATTATATGTTGATTCGATACATTTATTGTAACGTCCCCCCCCCCCCCCCCCCAAATCTAGTGATAAGAATGAAAACTTAGAACTCTTAAGAATCTGCAAAAACAAATACGGAAAAAACAGGGAAACTTTTTCTGAAGAATAAAATGCTTGGTCCTATTCATGTTCCTGTTTTAACTAATCACGTGGCTGAGTCTGAGTTGATTTAATCTTTTAAGATTGTTACGTAATATGAAGTTTTTCTTTTCCTGAGAATGAAAGAAGCAAATACAAACAACATACGCCAAAAACAAAACAACCAAAAGATATTTTGTCCTCCAAAGTGTTGTTTACTTGTTTTAGCCAATTTCATATTAAACTCAATCATATATTCTGTCCAGTATGAGGATTCTTGATTATTTTTTGTATGACTTATCATCGTGACACTTCTACAACAATAATAACAAGCCTTACCTCACTAAGTAAGGCTATTTAAATAGGTCCACGACACAATTTGGCTCTATTGACAACCAACTCTTCAATAAACCATTCACTAATGCATTCCTTTCAATAACTTACCCAAGTATCTTTTTCTTTCTGTGTCTTTTTCATAGTGCTTTAATTGAAGAATAGAAGGAAGAATAAATTCTAGATATCCTGCTGAAAAATCTATAAATTTCACCAGAACTTGATGACGAGCTTGCAGAGGCCAACATTGAGATATGTAAGACAAAAAAAGATGTGAACATATAAACTTGATAAATGAAACATTTCAAGACTGAAAATGTTGCCTGCTGCTTGTTGTGACAAGGAGAAATGATACTTGCTCAAGGATTTTAGATTTGATCCTAGTTATGAGCCTGTAACTTTTGAATAGCCATTGAGATTATAAGATTTGTTATTCAAGTTAATGTAGATGTCAACTATTCATTCTATATCTTTGCCTGCAATTTACAGACTCCAAAGAAAATCGTAGTGTAGGTATGAATTGTAGAATCAATGAGTCTGTCAAATATAATGATTCGCATGAATGTTGCCACAATGTTTTCCTAGTTCTTGTTTTCCCTACATTAAAAAAAAGAAAAAAGAAGATATTGATGAACATTTAGATCTGATTAACTATGTTCTAACTTGTATTTTGACTCTTTTGGCAGGGTGGCGAACTCTGTTCTTTGCGGTATGACTTAACTGTTCCATTTGCTAGATATGTTGCCATGAATGGTCTAACATCTTTCAAAAGATACCAAATAGCCAAGGTCTACCGAAGGGACAACCCATCTAAGGGAAGATACCGGGAATTCTATCAATGTGACTTTGATATTGCTGGTCAGTTTGAGAAAATGGGTCCAGATTTTGAGGTTGTTAGAATTTTGACTGAACTGCTTGATGAGCTAGACATTGGAGACTATGAGGTAAAGATTTATTTTCATAAATTTGTTGCTCTCCTTAAGTTTGATGGCTTAATTTCTAGAACTGTCTACTATTTCTTGTGAACTTTTCTGTGATGTGATGTGGTTTTGAGGAGTCATGATAGAAGGCTGTCAAAAGTGAGATGAGACTTAATCCAATCAGTAGGGACCCAAATGAGTCTGTAATATTAGGGCACAAGGCTCTACTTGGTATAAGATACCCTTCGGAAGATGGACATATATAGCTAAGATTTCACGATAAAAGTTGAAATCAAAATTAAGGATTAGAGTCGGACAAACTGTGTGAGGCTATTGTAGTTTTTAGTTTGCTCTTCTAAAATCTGGCCAGTATAACTCAACCCAAATGATGGTAAAGTCGAACCATGTGATACAGACTCATTTCAATATCATTGGCAATGTAATTTTGATTTCCTTACTTGAAGTTAGTGTGTTGTGCTCTGAATTTCATATGGCAATATTATTCAATAGTGTTTTCTGGCAACAATTTTTTTATTTGTATATTGATGGTTTTCATTATTACATTTGTATGATTTCACAGATAAAGTTAAATCATCGAAAATTACTGGATGGAATGATGGAAATTTGTGGAGTGCCAGCCGCAAAGTTTAGGACTATATGTTCAAGTATTGACAAATTGGACAAGCAGTCTTTTGATCAGATACGAAGAGAAATGGTGAGCGCATAAGCATATGCTTGTGTCCCTTTTCATTAGATTAGAATATTACTAATTGGTTGTAGCCAGTGTTTTTGGCATGTAATAAGTTCCTTCTTTCAGTTGCTGAGAATGGTGCAGTCCATACATGCTAAGTAATTCATTTCAGGATTTAGATATCCATACCAAGCAATTCACTGTTTTCTTGTTGGGAGAGGCCTTTGCTATATCAGGTTAATCCGTTGGTTTTAATTTTAGATATATGTATGATAAATTTTAATTTGAACTGTTAGGGATGATTATGTTACCGTTCAGTGACATGCCTTGAGCTGCTAGGGCTGATTTTTTCTATTCAGTAACGTGCTTCATGCTATCATTTTGTAGGTGGAGGAAAAAGGAATATCTGCAGCTGAGACAGCTGTTAAGGAAAATTGGAACATTTTGTTAAGGAAAAGAGGGGACCTGCTTTGGCATTGTTATGGATCTTTAAACAAGAAATGGGTAAATTTTAGAAATGCTGGATCTGTAACGAAACGCAAATGACCTGGAAATTTTTTTCACTTGAGTCTTGCCAGAGGTCTTGATTATTATACTGGAGTCATATTCGAAGCTGTTTTCAAGGGTGGTACACAGGTAAATTCTGACATCTTATCTTTGCTATTATTAGTTAAAGAGGTCTTATATTAAGGACTGGAGGAGTAATTCTTATTCTGCAATCCTGAAAAGGAAATACGTAAGTAAAAGGAAACCCCGTGATTTCAGAAGGGGGGGCTTTCTTTAACTGATGGTATGACATTCACACAAACACGCGCACATATTACCCTGTATGTAGGGATGGATGTGAGTATGCAAATCTGTGTGTCCAGGTTGGTTCTATTGCCGCCGGCGGTCGATACGATAATCTGATAGGGATGTTTGGATCCAAGCAAGTTCCAGCAGTTGGTGTCAGTCTTGGAATTGAGAGAGTATTTGCTATAATGGAGCAACTTCAGAAAGATAGAAACCAGGTAATTGTAATGCTTGTTTCACTTGCTACCTGTAATCAACTACCCGCTTGATTGCTCTGAGGACCAAATTCCTGTTGAACCCGATTTGCTGGGAAGATTGGTCAATTATTGTTTTATGAAAATTATGGTTTTGAACGCTTTGAAATGTTTGAATTCAAGCAAGATTGTATTTCCTGTTTGAACCCGATCTGCACATGAATGCTTGATTTTCCTTGTCAAATACAGCTTTAGAAAAAGTCATGATGGAGAACCAATAAATCATGGAATCAATAAAATTACTGGCCAACCACCTAATGTTTTATTTGCCTGTACCTACCAGGCTGTCAATTTTTTAAGCACTTGCGATCACTTTCATGTGATATTGTATTTTTGTTTGTTGATTGGTGCATTTGTTAGATGCCTCGAGCAAACAAAACTGAAGTTCTAGTGAGCATATTAGGGGATGACCTAACACTTGCTTCAGAGCTGGTAAGTGAGTTGTGGGATGTTGGGATCAAAGCAGAGTTCCTGGTCAATAGAAGACCAATGAAACATCGACCGTGCCAGAGAATCTAGGATCCCTTGGATGGTCCTGGTGGGTTGAGCGAGAATTGAATAAAGGTGTTGTGAATCTGAAAGATGTTGAAGCTGCTAAAGAGATGGAGATCTCCAGAGATCAAATTGTTGAGGAGCTTCGAAGACGGTTGAATCCATAAGTCTTCTGGCCTGCACGAGCTAACTTCAAAGCTGGGTTTGATTATTGTCAGTGGTTAAGTGCCATGTTTCATTGTTTGTTAAGCTGACAATTACATATACATTTGGACTGGGGAGGTATAGGGATCACTGTGGCATATTTCTTTCGGAATTATTTATCAAAGAAATAACTTGCAGATTTTGATTAGCTATTGCCATTGTGATGTAATTTTTGTTGGTGCATATTTTAAACTTTTGCAAACGGCGTAAGCTGAATCTCTCAGTTGTCCCCTTTATCTTAAAGCATGGTTAATTTTCTGCTATCTAGAGCTCTCTCTCTCTCACGGACACATTGTTTTCATCTGTGAAAACTTTTAGATGATGTTAGATTCACGGGCCTCATAATTACTGAATCTTTGACACGTGCGTGCACGGCCTCATCGGGTGGTGATTGATTTTTAGGCCTCACAATTTTACTCAAGCGTGTCTGGACACGCACATCTGTGAAACTTTTTGATGATTGATTCATAGGCCTTGTAATTGCTGTGTACTCAAGCATGTTTACAAGACATTTGATACATAAAAGATGTGAAAAAAAAAAAGGGGAGAAAAAGAATAACGGAAGAAAGAGATAGGAGAATATACAAAAACGTGATCATGGATTCGTAGTATTATAATAGTTAAACACTAAGAAAAGCAGAAAAACTCAACGTATGTTCCAAATTTAACAAGTTATTTTTTGAATTAAAATTTGTTTATATATGTGCGCGCGCGCAAACATCCGTATTTAACTTTTAAGCCCTATATAAATCATCCTGTTAACATAAATTTTAAATTCCATATTGGGCAAGTACTCAGTCTGATATGCATTTGAAGTGGTTTAACCAATCCAGAAATGAGAAGTTAAGGTCATTAAAAAATTATTAAACAATATTCCACGCACCTTTATTTATCAAAATAGACATGAGTGAATTTTGGTAAATGAAATACAATTAATATAAATCTTTAGTGATGTATATTATTTATATTCATAGTTAATAAATAGCAGATCTCATCTTTAGACTTCGCCTAATGTGCTATTTTATTTAGCATATTTTCTTCAATAAAAGTAATATATAAAATAATTATTATTTAAAGGAAAATAATAATTGTGGTGTTGATGTTATAAAATTATGTATGATGTATTATGTAATGTGTATATAAATTATCCTCCTCCGGTCCTTAATGTAAGAAACAATTCTTGAGTTGATTTTGGTCCTAAATATAAGACTCATTTTTTCATATATTTTTTATTGTGTTCTAAATTATCCTTATGAATACTCCCTCAACCATAATCAAGTAGAAGAGGGAGAGGGGTATTAAAAAAGATGATTATGGATTTTAGGAAAAAATGTGTCACTTTTCTTATAATTAACTAACTTATCTAACTTTCTTAATCTAATAAATTAGTTTAATGGGTCTTATATTAAGGACCGGAGGAGTATTATATAATAAAGTTTTTACTAGAAATTTATATAAAATAATTGTTATGCTACGAAAATAATAAGCTTATTACATTATTAGTTCTGGAGGCCCCAAAGTCCACAGGAACACAAGGGGAGACCAGCTGTAGAGAATAATCCACAAAACCGATCTCACTCCTTTTATCTTGCAAACTGTACAGTCTTCATCACAGATATAAAATAATTATTATTTTAAAGGAAAATAATAATTGTGGTGTTGATGTTATAAAAATTATGTATGATGTATTATGTAATGTGTATATAAATTATTATATAATAATTATAAAAAGTTTTTACTAGAAATTTATATAAAATAATTGTTATGCTACGAAAATTAATAAGCTTATTCATTATTATTAGTTCTGGAGGCCCCAAAGTCCACAGGAACAACGGGAGACCAGCTGTAGAGAATAATCCACAACCGATCTCACTCCTTTTATCTTGCAAACTGTACAGTCTTCATCACAGTAGTTGGCCGCTTAGTCATTGTTAGGACACTTTTTCCCCGAAAGTTTGTGCTGTACCCTCACTACAATTGCAAAACCCTAATCGTGCGAGTCTCCGAAACCTCCATCAAAATGGGTTCTGAAGGATCCGCGGTTGTTGGTGAGTATTGGACATCCAGATTTCTTAATATCTCTTGTCCATTATTTTTTGGTTTTGGATTCTCAACATCCATCCAGAAGTTGGGTTGAAATTTGTCTACAATTTTGTCGACAAATCATTCCCTAATTGTGAAGAATTACTGTGCCTTTGTTTGTTGTTGGTGCAATCTACAATTTCTGAATGCACTTTGCTTGTTTGTGTCGTCCTGCGTGGATGCTTTATTTGAACTTGGGGCTGTTGTAGTTCAGTTATTAGTAGGTTAATGATGATGATTTGCATTTATTTCTAGTATTTTTCATAACTGCCGCTCTACCGTCTGAGTGCACCTTTTTAATTCAATTCTTACTCTGTTGGAACCATATTTCTGCATACTCAACTAGTTTTGGATTATGCTTGAGCCAAATTGGAAATGTTATGTTTTATGCTGAAATCAGATATGGTCAAATACTTCGTGCATACATTATTATATAATGCAGAAGGAACATAAATGGTACAGAAAATAAAAGACATGCATGGAAGCGCAGAGCCAGAGCAGATATGTATAGTCTTTTTTTTTTTTTCTTTTGGGGTACTAGAGTGGGATTCAAGATTTATAATTTATGCCCTTCCTGATCCAGAGGGAATTCTGGTCGTAGGTGGGAAATTGTTTAGCTTGTGGATGATTATCATCTCCCCCCCACACCAAACACAAACACCCACGCACACTATTCTTAATTAACCGCTTTGTGAGATATCATGTATGCCTTCCCCTGCCTCTTATGAATCAAGATTTCTCTGCTGCTGTTCTCAGAAGAGCTTGTAGGTTGTATCCTAGTTTTCAAATATTTCTTGGTAAATATCTCTCTGGGAAACTGATTTGGTATTTTCTCGTATACATGCTAAGATCAACGTGTGGGCCTTCTCTTTTAGTGTACAGCTTCAGGTGGCAACTCCCTCTTTTCTAGAATGAATGTTCTGATCTGCAAACTGTTATGTATAATTTCTCTTCTTTGATGTTGATAACCTTTGTGCTTTGTTGGTGAGTGTCTACCGATGGTTGAAATCTGAGTAGATATTTGCTTGTTGTTTCATTTCTTTAGGCTAAGCTTGCAGTCACCTACCAATGGCAATCACACATTTCCTAAAAATAGCCTTGGACTTATGAATTTTCTTCAAGAAAGAAGGATTGAATTGAATACATTGCATTTCTCCAAATCTTCTCAGTGAGACATATTCTACTTGATGGCTAATGAAGAAGTTATATCTGGATGCCTCTGTCTTGATTGAGTTTGCTATAGATTTTCACATGTTTTTTCAGTCTCTCCACACTCCCCTTAAGAAAAATCTGGTTTTGAATTATCTGCAATAGTTCTTAATGAATGTGTAATTAATACTTGGCTTTTTTTTGTTTATGCAGTACCCAGGAGTTTCAGATTATTGGAAGAGCTTGAAAGAGGTGAAAAGGGAATCGGCGATGGAACTGTCAGCTATGGCATGGATGATGCTGATGATATATACATGCAGTCATGGACAGGGACTATTATTGGTCCTCCTGGTGTAAGCTGATACACACACACCACACACACACACACACACACATCTTCCTAGGGTTGTAATGTTTTTACTGTGTGATTGTGTATTTGCTTCTCAATCTCTTCTCTACCCTCCCAAACCAAGCCTCCCTTGCCCCTTTGTGCTCCAAAATAAATAATTCTGAATTTCAGTTGGTGGCGTTTAGATTCCCGTTTGCCAATTTAAGCTGTTGGGAAAGATCATTATTAAATGGTAAATATTACTCAAGTGATTCTTGCATGTGAGACCATGTTACCTGTAGGGTTGAATTACTGGATAAATTCAGCTATAAATTATCATTGCTAATTTGCTATAATATTTTTTATCTGAAAAGGGATTCTTGTTTTGCCCGATTTCCAGAGACCCAGTGATTAGCTGCATTTTTCTTTTCTTTTATCTTTGACTTTACCCTGATTAACATATGATTTTTTTTTCTTTTATTTCTAAGGAAGTTTAGTTTCTATCCAACAATATATTGATTTCGCATCTTTCCCTTGCCCATATTTTTTACCAGACTGTTCATGAGGGGCGTATCTACCAGCTGAAATTGTTCTGTGGCAAGGATTATCCAGACAATCCACCATCTGTAAGATTTCAAACAAGGATTAACATGACTTGTGTCAACCAAGATTCTGGAGTGGTAGGTGGCATTTTTGTAAGGGCTTCCACTACCATGATTTGCATGATACTGAACTAATGACTAGCTGAATTACCAGGTTGAGCCAAATTTGTTTCCCATGCTGGCTAATTGGCAGCGAGAGTACACAATGGAAGACATTCTGATGCAATTGAAAAAAGAAATGCTGTCCCCTCAAAACCGGAAGCTAGCTCAGCCTCCTGAAGGTGTGTTATTAATCTTATTTTTTCGTTATTGTGAGTACGTTTCTTCTTTTTATGTTGTAATATATGTTACTGTTACCTCTACATGCACAGTAGTTTTACTGGTAAATATTTTGATTTAACTTTCACACAAGGACTGTTTCTTTCATCACTGCCTTTTTTTTTTCTTTTCTTTTTTTTTGTATGATGTGTAATCCGGTACTCAACTGATTTACTGATTGCTTAAGGTATTTTAACTTAAACCATTTTTTTGTTGAGAGTCAACTTCAGATAATTCTCTACAATCTACAGAAATGCAAGGTTGAGTTTTTGGTTAGATATGAAGTTTCATCCTTGGAACTTTAATTTATTTCAAGCCATTCTTGGTTCTACTTCCATCTAATTAAGATGATTAAATTAAATTGCTGTTAAGTATCTATTCCTATTATTGTATTCTCATTTGGTACCGAACAATTTGTAGTTTGCTATTTTAGTTTAACATTCAAGCCCCATGTTTAAAAAAAAAAGAAAAAAAGAAAAGGGGACTTCTCTACTGATATGAAATTAATGAATTCATTAATAAGTCTGTGAAACTAGCTCATCTTTGTTGATGGGTTGTTGATTTCATATTAGTCTGATGACTGGTGGATGAAGTTGAATGATCCTCTACATGATTTCTGCCCGTAGGTAACGAAGATGGAAGGATTGATCAAAAGGGGCTGGTGCTCAAATGTTGTATCGTGTAATCAGGGTGAGAGTCCAATAATAATGACAATACTAATAATGTAAATAATCATATCCAATAGTAATCTGAGTTCACGGGGGATGCATTTATAAATGTAATTACAAGCCATTTGCCTATGTAACCGGAAGCAATTTAAGGGATTGTGACCATCTTATCCTTGAATTTTCATTGGATGTTGTACTTTGTGACAACCGTAACTTCATATTTTGTTGTGGCAGCTCAAGACCCTTTTCATAATGTATTCACACTCATGGTGCGTGTCCGATTCAGCACCAAGTGTCTTGGTCATATTAGATTTTTTCTTTCAACCTATGTGAATGGTGGTATCATTTGTTTATGCAAAAATAAAATCATTGGATTTGATCTTGCATGTTTAGCAGGACCTTGTATTTGATTTATACACCACAAGTTAAGCAGGACCATCAATTTCTTCACATGAACGATCAGCTAATGCACTTGGCAGAGAGTTTGGTGAAGCCTTGCCAATGACATCATGATTTGCTTTTGAGAATCTGGTAACTTGTCCACTTGGTCCAAAAGTTCAATTATATTGGAAGTTTAGGAATGATTAAAAGACCAACTAGAAACTTCACCAAATTCTAGAGAGGAAAAGGAGCAGTTATTCTACCTTTTCCATCCCCAGCCCCCAAAAAATAATCTTTAGACTGCTTTTGAATGTCTTCAGCTCAAAAAAAAAAAAAAAACTGCTTTTGAATGTCGACATCCTCCATCTGCATATGGAAATGTTTAGCATGAGAGGAGGCTTGAAAACTTTGTTGAAGATTTATCAATCACGTACAGAATACACACACACACACACGAAAAGTGTATTTGTTAGGACTAGACTGTAATTACATAATATCTGCTTTTAGGCTAACTAATAGCAGGTTACTTAGATGTTTATTTAGAAATCATGATTTTTGCCTAAGGCTTGAGGTATGTCTTGATTTCAATGAGAACTAGAATCTAATTCACCTAAAACCTTTTCTTTATTTATTTGGAAAATGCTCACTAAGTAACTACGGAAAAGTTGCGCGCGACACAAAGCGAGCACGAAAGGGTACTTTCCTTTCAGAGGCTCACGGCCCGCAGTCATATCTGTGCACGCATTGCTTTAATGACACGTGCGGGTTCCTTCGATTGGATTTGGCTGAATGGATTTTTGAAGGGAGAAAACTAGAATCCCTCAAACAGATATGGGTGGGTATTTTACCATAGGTTTTTATTGTATCAATCTACTGCTGTGTGATCCCTTTTGAAGCATATAGGGGGTGGGTGCAGGGCGGACAATTTCAAAACAGACTCTCCATTCATTAGATAAAAAAGCAAGATTTTGTGATTTACTGCCAAACTTATTCCAATTCAATAAGAGATTTCAATATTATGTTTTGAAGAAAAATCAAACCTCCACACTCTTTAGCATAAGATTTTGAGTCTTGTTTGTTTACCATTTCACCACCAAGGCAACTTGAAAGTAAATCGTAGTTTATGAATATAATGTCTATCTAACTATTTATATTCCTAGGATTGAACAAATTAGAATTCTCAATTCTTTACTATGTCTAGCAAATAAAATTTCTTTATTTTCAACCAGCTTTTGATCTCTTATTCTTATAATGGATTTCTTAATAGATTTATCAAAATTTTTCTTTCTTGGTATCTTTGATTAATTTAGTGCTTTCTCTTATGAATCAACGAAAGGCTTATGGTTTGATACATATTAAATTGTTCATGGTTTTTTCTAGACAGACGAATTGGTTCGATACTTAATATTCTTTTTTTTTATCAATTTCGTATTTTTATTTAATTGTGTAAGAGTGAAATCATTCTGATTTTTAATTTTTATAATATCTAGACTTAGTTTTCCCCTTTGAATAGAGGCTATAGCAATTTTTTAATGTGCTATCTATTTTATTCATTCCAATCCTTATTATAAAATATAATTTTTTTTGACATAGTATCACGATCTAACTAATGACTTATTAAAGTTAATTCGATATTTTACAAAGTAACCCATACTTGTTTGCGAAAAATAATCATTGTGTATATCAATACAAAAACATGAAACACTAAAAAAAATGAAATAACTATTGGAGTTAATTCATAAGACAATCTTTGGCAAAAAAAAATTACTTCTCCTTACATTATACATGGGTCTTATATTTATGATCGAAAAATAAATAGATAGACAGAAATAGATCAGTTTCCCTCACATAAATATGCCAACTCTTTCTTCTCTTCCCTCACAAATCACTTCCTTCCCTAATCTCTGTCACTCATCTCAGCCAATCAGCCATGGCTTCTATTGAAAGTAACAATCGCGAGGTATCTTTACTTCTATTCTTTGACTTGACAATATAATCATTCCATTTTCATCTTCAAGTTGATATTCCTGCAGGTCTTCATGCAGCAGCTTCAAATTCAATTGCAGAGCCCCACCAAAACGTTCTGCAAAAGCACGCTTCCTTCTTCGACAGAAACCAGTACGGCGTCGTCTACACCGGGTAGACTGTCTGATGTGGATAAATTGTTGTTGTCTTCTCGGAAACCAAACAGGAATTTTGTAGAGGGAAACAAATTCAAGGTAATAGTAATCATATTGAATCCTGTGATTGTAGGGCTTCGTGCAATCGGTTGCGGCGTCTTCTTGTCCTCTGCATTTTCACTTTTCCTCAATCTGTCTCTCAGTCAGAAAACTCGTCCCGTAACTTCCTCTATCTCTTCTTTTCTAGCATACTTCTTAACGTGGTTGTATTTGAATGGAAGGAGATATGTTGATGTCGATGAGTGACAATTAGGTGGGCTTCTTATTGATGAATGATGCAGGGAAAATGTCCTTCTCTGTTGTTACCAATTGAAGATGGAAATATCCAAGGTTCCTGTGTGCTGTTCTTCTAAACATTTCTTTTTTTTTTTTTTGGTAATTTTCAAGTTATCCACGAGGTGGTTTATAAATTTAAGAGGCTCGAACAATTTAACATACTAGTCTTTTAGACTTGTGCTCATAATGTTAGTACTTTCATTGGAAGTATTGATATCTTCAACTCTCAAGCAGAGTGTGTGGTTACAAGTCTCATACCGGAAAGTGTCAGAGGAGAAACAAAGCTAATAAGTTTAAAAAGCTGTGTCACCATAAGCTAGTCTTTTAAGATGTTCTCTTCCTTTACTTGTAATATCGATGCAATATTTTCTGTTTAGTACATGACCAATATGTACATAGAGTGATAGTTGTGATTCTTTTCCGTTTACTTGGACAGCATTTCTTATTCAATCCTCAATCTTATTTACAATGCTTTAACATCAGATGAAGTGGCGGCTATGCTTAAGGCAAACAGAGATCGTAAGGATTATGGTGGATGGTAATAACTCATCATTAATTAATTAACCTTTTTTTGTCATTTACTATAAAACGGTGTATCAATGATATACATCAATATCAATATTAATATGCTTTTTCCGCTACTTAATTAATTCACATGAATTAAAAATAATTAATAAATTAGTTATTTGTAAAAAAAACTTTTTTTTAAAAAAAATACTCCTCCTTTTAATCATACAATTGCCATTCAACTTTGCAATACAATAATTTTATTATTGGGGTAGTTTGGAAAAATAATAAATAAGAAAAGCAAAGAGAATTAATATCTTATATTTAAAATCAAAACAAACTCTTTAACCAACTGGCTTCTATATTTAAAATCATGAAGAATATATCTATAATAAGGTCTATACACATGTACACCTCCATATGGATTCTTTTTTTTTTTTTTTTTAATTAAAGGGGCAGACATTAACGGCTTACGGTTATAAGTGGAATAGAATCCACAATCTATCGGAGAGCATCAATATCACTAAGTTACAAAGCCTTTGACACTCCCATATAGATTCTAATCTCATTGAGTTGAGGATGTGAGGTTGTTATCATGGCAAGTACTGCACATGACTTTGTAAACATTCTTAGCTCGTAATGAAGCGTATAGCCAGCGATTCATGAGGTTGGGACTTGGGAGAACAGGTTCCTATCAATCAACACCAAAAAATGGATAATGTGAGATACCCCAATTATATAAACATGTAGGGTTCTCATAATTCTCCCTTTCGTCTTCCTCCCAATCTGGGTTTTGACACACTCATTCTTATTATGTATTTTTAGTTTTTTTATGTAAATAATATAAAAGAAAGAAATTTCTTCTGCTTGATATATCTACCACCACCAAACAGGCACAATAAAAAAAAAACAAAAGGTTGAAGAGAAAATTAAATAAGGATGGGATAAGTAGTAGAGGGCAAAAAGGCCTAAACCCTAACGTTGTCGAGTTGTAGTGTTGTGTGTTGTTGTTGTGGTGGCACATCAAAAGACCAAGACAAAAATCCTCACAACACACACACACACACAAAAACAATGTAAATTAAATTTTACAACAATTATGTAAACAAACAAACAAGCAATCATACAAAGACGGTGCCTTCATTATTGAAGCCTATGAAGTGACCTTCCCCTAATTAATTCCCCACTTTACTTCCATTTGCCTTTAATTTCTGTTTTTGTCTTTATTTCTTCACTCTTTTCCCTTTCCTTTGATTCAACTCTCAATACATGCTTGCTTCTCCACCTACCAACTATCTCTCTGTTTGATCACACCGAAACAGGAATCTTAATTACATCATCATTATTTCTTTTGGAAAAATTAGTAGCTTCTTTTAAAAAAATGTCTTAATTGGTAGCTCTGGTAGGTAGGGGATGAACATGCATGAAGGGGATAGATGCATATGTATAGTTATAAATATTCATTATTTAGATATAATAAAAAGACACGACGAGTATGTTGAGACGTGTTTGAAGGAGAGGAAAAAAAAAAAATCAAAATCTATTAATTTAACAAACATAGTGTCTAGTCAATTATTGGAAGCGTGTTTGATATGAAGTCACTCGTCAATCATTATCATCATACTATGCTTTCTTCTTCGTTCACTGAAATTTCTCGAGTGTTTCGTTTTCATCTAGTGGCAGGGATTATTTCTAATTTAAGCACTTATCAAATAATTACTTCCATAAACAATTGTCTAGTTATATATTGTGATTCAATTATAGTAGATTGAGGGATGTGATTGGATTTTAATTAGGAACTAAATTAACACTTATGCAATTAGTCTACTTTTGAAACTTCATTATGCTTTGATGGTTTCTCCATGTCTTGTTAATTAGAGGATTAATATATTAAGTGGGAAACGTATTTGAATTTTCCACCACTGCTTTTTCCCCCCCTTAAATTGCTGAATCGTTAGCTTAAAGTACCTTGTAAAGTATAATGCACTCAAATGTTGTACTTCTTTCCCGTTTAATTACATTTTTAGAACCGATGACAA